AAAAATATCTTGGACATCAATGTACAACTTCTAAATGCCACTGAAAGACATCAATATGAGCATGGATTTACATATTTGGAGAACAATGACTTATGAAAATCACCAAACCTGACCCTCCAGTTCATTTATTCACCTCTTACAACAAGCAGGTTGCAGGAGACCAATTCTGACCAATAATATATACAAGACATTCAACACCATCACACTAGTTGCCTGTATGATAATGAGTGTTGAAAACCATCATGAGACAGGAAGACTGACATGCTGGATTATTCATATAACCAGTACACAATAACTGGCTCATGTTGGCATTTTTTTTGTGATTGTAGAGCTTATTAAGATTCAAAAGATTCTAGCAGCCATTTTTGTAAACTCGTATTCCCTGTTCTCTATTCACTATGTTTTACCCAGATTTCCCACATGTTGGCAGTGGTGTAAAGTAAGATGCCACAGTGCCATAATCATTGATAATGCAACTGCAGGATTTTACCCGACATAAAATAATATAAAACAAATCAATTTAGTGATTGAGTGACTTGGGATTAAGGATGCTTTGAACAGTTCAGTTACTTATTTCTTGTTTGTAAGCAGCCAGATCATATTTTGTTGCATGAAAACGAGTTTGCTTGTATAAAACCAAAAAATACTAACAGGTCTCAACTTGTATTAGTACAAGTTGTATGATACACTGAGTACAATTACTTCATAACAGCTTCCGTTTCTACCCTCAGGGTTCACGAACTTCAGAACACTTCTCATGTCCAAAAAAGCATGCTTTGATGTTTTGATAGGTAATAATGTGTTTTTCACTTCAAACATTAATCTGAAGCCTGATTTACCAGTTTTTCACTTCATTTTGAAATTTCTTTCATGTTTACTCTGAAAATCTGGTTACCAGGGAAATATGTGTGGCTCCAAGGAAAATAGAACTTCGAGGTCTGAAAGCAAAGATAGTGCTATACAAGCATACTAGACATGGAAAATAAGGTAATTTTGTCCAAGAAAGATGAGTCCCAAAAATGGTTTCTTAAGAAACTGTTTTCTTGCATGAATCTACATGAATTTTGTTTCTGCAAAATTACAGCATTATCACGGTGTGAAACATCAGAAATGGATCTCGCATACTGTACCCATGTGGGGAATCAAACCTGTGTCTTTGGCATGACAGGCACAAATCCCCCATCGCTCTTATTCTTAACTCAAGTAATGCAATGCGCAACTACCTTGATAAATTTCAGATTGACAGAATGATTATTTAACTCTCTGTTAGAATATTTTATCACAAAATTAAACTTTTGATCTGTTTCCTTTTGACTTTCACATAGAAGAGACATTTGAAATAAATACTTCAAAAATATTCGAAAACTAAGATGTGCAACTTCTAAGGAACTACTGAACACAACTGGCAGAGATATCTTTTAATTATGATGTGATGCTTAAGTGTCGGCATATTGTCAGTTGTGATCATGCAGTGTTATAACAGTATCCTCAGCAGGATCAGACTTCACACAGTCGTCACCAAACCACGCGCCACGGTTATGAAATTAATCCTTGTACATCACAACAGGCAGCCAGCTGGCTCACAAAAACACTTCCTCAATACCGTCATCAACATCTGCTTTTATCATTTAATAAACTTGTCTATATGTCTATCAGTGTAAAAACTTGGAGCCTGCTAGCCCAAATTTGGCTCCAAACATCAGGATTTTATACATTACATTTTGTACATGTTGCTGTATTACCACGTGGCCTAGTGTAAAGCAATTTACCAGACAGAATAGAAATTCGTTACTTTGAACTGGAGTTGTATTTCTTCCGATTGATTTGATACTTCAAACATGCATGATTGGGGGAGTATTGCTGAATGCATTACAAGCAATTCTGTAGCTTTTCAAGGCGATGAGACGTGTACACATGAAATTAATTTGGCATTGAGACAATCCAGACTGTTTAGAAAGACAACAACAAAATTACATAACACATCCAAGAGTTTAGCACTCATGTCTTGTCACTATCACACAACATTTACTTTGGCAGGTTAATAACCCTTTTTCTTTGTAGACGAGATCTGGATACATGCAAGTGTTTTGATACTTCACATGTGTAAATATTAACCTAACATGGCTTCTGAGACAACTGGGAGTATCTTGTTAAGGGATTCTGTCATTAAACTTCGGGGAAGTCATAAAAGCGCTGTTAATAATTATTACATCTACAAATGATGTTTCCTGACTCCTTCAAACTTTAATAACTTATAGGCATATCACACATTCTGTGCAATAACATCAGGTGCTTAACAGAGACTTATTGGCTCATAATGAACTAACGGTTCCTGTCAAAACCTTTTATGTCATTTTTAATGACTGGATTTCAAAGACCTGGAAATAACATAATCTTTAAGTAAAGATAATTTTATAAACCATGAACATGTTACTCATAAATGAAAATGTTGTATTAGGTATTCTGGTACTTGAAGTGATACTGATTCTGAAATTACAATAAAGATTTTGATATGACCCCCTTAGGTATGCAGATCACTTTATGTGTGGTTGATCAAGCTTGAAAATGTTTTATGAATGAACATGACTTACAAGTTGTAATGTCACAGCACAATGAAATGCATAAATATTGACAAGGTGATATCAGTCATTAGTAAGAATACAGCCATCTTGTGTTTGAACAAAACACAACTAATTCTTTTTAATGCAGTCAAACTATTTTCCATCAGAGACATATTTTGATGTGATTAATGTACAGTATTAACTGACTGTTCATCAAAAACCTACATAATATAACCATTTACAATCTGTAATGCTTTCTTACTACTTAGAATATTGATCTTCAGTAATCCATGCTTGGATCGGGTGATCAGGCTCGCTGACTTGGTTGACACAGACACAGGTCATCAGTTCCCAATTGTGCAGATTGATGCTCATGCTGTTTATCCCTGGATTGTCTGGTCCAGACTCGATTACTTACAGACCGCCCCCATATAGCTTGAATATTGCTGAGTACGACGTAAAACTAAACTCACTCACTATCTTCTGAGTGACATGTAGCAAAAGTATAAACATCATTTGAAAGGACACCATAGCTAAAAAGCACTTACTAAGCATCATTAATACTTGTATAGTTGATCCCAAATTGAAGCAGTAAGCTGAAGGACTAAACATTTTGAATTATCGAGCATCTTCATGAAAGCATGACAACAGATATTTTAGTTTTGAATGTGACAATAAATGGCGGTGAGAATACCTAAAGAACAGTGCTAATGCTATCCACATATACTGAAACATATATCTTCTATTGGATATACTTACATAAACACCAACAAGACTGGAATAACACATGTAACACAAGTGTTATATTTGGGATCACACAAAAATTTACATTAATCTAGACAACAGAACAGCCAGGACAAGAGCAACAGGATATCAATTCGTCACTGTGTGGACTCATAACCTATGATAACCTCCTTTGACTCAACTAAAGGATACAGAAAATTTAGTGACTTTGGTTTTATGAATAATCTAGCAATATTACAGTAGTGGATACCAGCAAAGGGCTTTACATCTATAGAGAATCAAACTCAGACTTTCAACATAATGAGCAAGCCTATCTAGCAACATGGCTACCCAGCCAACCTTTATGAACTTAACGATAACAAGGTCACACGTGTGAGAATGGGACCAACAATTCAGACTAATGTGTTTTCACAGCCACGGTTGATGTAACAAATCAGTTAATCAGCAATCAAGGTCCACTGCAACACACAGCTATCAATACCTAATGATTATGTCAAACCTTTACAAATTGGATTTACACTATCTGCACACCTGGTGGTGAAGAGTGAGTGAGTGAGTGATACATGTATAGTATAACCTACTCATGTAACAGCTATTACTTCAAATACTTCAAAATGTAAACTTTGGCAAGCAGCCATCCCTGTATTAAAAATATGTTCATGTAATTTGGTTTGGTAATCATAAAAGACAAATCTTTTATTTTTGCACAATATTCTTTTCTCTCATAACATATCTGTTTGACATTAATACCTACCATAATTATAGTGATTTATCATAACAGCATAATTGATAACTGTAAGCAATAAACAAGGTATTTTACCATTTAATGTATCATATTAAGTATTATGATTGTTAATGTCATTGGGGTGGGAGGGAGTAATTGATTTATTTATACATTCAATACATATGCTATACTATACTATTAATTACTAACAGACCAGATAGTGTAATCAATAATCTCTGTTATAATCTCCTCGTGTGAGGGCACTGTGCTCGACGCTGTGGATGCTAAGACCTCGAAGCACAGTAAGGCACTAAGACGATGTAAAAACTCTGTTGATAAAGTCTGTTTTAAAACAACAGTATACGTGTCAGTTAATTCATTGATTAAAGACTTAGATTTTCTACAAAAAACCGCCCAGATTTCCTCCGAAACGATATCTGGTCACATTGATTTTCTGCGATAAGGACTTCGTATGACAGCCGTTGCTATGTGTCCATAATGCAATCTATACATTCTGACGATATACATTTTTTCGTGACACTTAAAAAGCTTTTAGACAGGAAGTCAGGGCCGTGGACTGTTACATAAAAACGAGAAAAAGTGTCATCATTCAGCTGTCTTATTTTGCTTTGCACGGCTGGACGACTTGCTTGGCCAGTGAAATGTCCTTTGCCATCACAGTTAGCGCTCCCGTTTGTAGACATCGGTTGTTGAAGACACACTTTTCTCCTAAGGAGGAGTCCAAACTACCGTAAAATCAACACACTTTGTAATCCCGTTCAAATTGCATTACACCGCCAGATTCAGGCGGCGTGCCAAATGTTACCTGCATATGCCAGGTAGATCCCGTCCCCGCACGATCCTTTCGCCGGACAGTTTTTTACTTGACGTTTTCGCGGTCCATAACAAAAAATGAAAGTACACAGATTTATGTATAAAGTTTAAGAAACAGTTTTAAAAAAGTGTCCCACCTGTAAAGATTTGTCAGGTTCCCTCCGAAAATCCGCAAGACAACAAAATCGCGTTCATATCCAAGGTAAACGATCCGCACGCCTCTCAAGGCTTATATTGACAGTTTGCTACACGCAGGTGGCTGTTCGTCGGTTCGGGTTATTCCGTATGTTTACGTTAGCACCGCGGATTTCCCCGTCACAAGCCGGAGCAGTATTCTACTTCCTTACAACTACGATTGTAAGTTCAAAAGGTAGTCTGTTGAAAATGAATGAAAACCTAAACCTCCGCCTCGTGGAACATGAATACAAATACGGTACATCACCTCAGTAGAAAGACGACACAATCAGGTTTACTGTTCGTGATATGTTTCGTCACCACTCAGTACATCTATCCAACACACTAGACAGTAAATACGGATTGTTTATTTCACATGTATAAATTACGATAAACTAAATCTGTTTACATATTTTGGAGCATAAAGTCACCTCAAATATACAAATCAAAGGCGGGGTATGAAATATGCATAGAAGAATACTGCTCTACCCTGATCACTGATTATTAAACAAATTTTCAAATCCTCTCGATTTGAATCATATCATACAAGAATATAACTTTCCCAATTGGTGTGTGTCCCCCAGGTAATATTCACTTTAACAAAAACATGCTCAAACCAAAAAAAAATAAAAATTATGCTACTCTGTATGTTATATTGTCACTAAATATCTTTCCTTTTTTAGGAGACTACTCAGACTATAGGCTTGGTGAAATTGTCAGTGCAAGCGACTCCAAATACTTAACCCTGATTCGTATGTCTGTTGGGTATCTTCCCATAAGACAGACCTCCCAAAAGACAGACCGCTTAAAACAACACATTTTATGGTTGGTTGCATTAGGCTTAATTCAGCTGTACCCTTGATAATATTGGTATGTGCCCAGATAAAATTAGATATTAACTGTAGTTTTATCAATTCATGTAATGAATTATGATTTTTAAATTAAGACATATATGTACATCAACATATGTACATTATTTGCCAGATTACATTTACTTATCAATATTATCAAAACAATAATTTATGTACATGTACCTATCAAGCACATGAGACCAAGCACCATATTATTTTACATCACATGCTTGTCAGTGCACAGATAACACTTATTAGAAAGTCACATCATCTTCTCCTTTCACCTTGCTCTTCGCATACAGGTAGCCATCTAGAAGGGTGATCGGAAAAGTCATAGGGAGAAAGTCATGGGAAAAATAACTGTTATAAAACATCCCGTTCTCCAGTTATATACTTTGTTTATACTTAATTTTATAAATACTATTTCACTTTCATCTTCAGTAATAAAAACATCGGTTCTATTCTGTTCTGATTAGTAAAAGGATTTGTAATATGTTTTTAGAAGGGCACAAGATATAGGAGTGTGTTGTTACTATACTCCAAAGTGACTCTGGGTCAGCTCATTAATTAAATAGGGGTGGACAGCATGGCTCAGCTAATTAGTGTACTCATTGAGTCTGTCTTACGGGAGGTCTGTCTTTTGGGAGTGAACCGTCTGTTGAATCGACTTTGTATAATCTCTAGTCAACAAATTGACTGATTGTTGTTTAACGCCGCACTCAGCAATATTCCAGCTATATGGCGGTGGTCTGTAAATATTCGAGTCTGGACCAGACAAACCAGTGATCAACATCATCAGCCTAGTCAAGAAATCCCAAAGAGGAGACAATCCGTCATGAGGTACTTTCTGCATACTAACGTATTCCGACAAAAAAGAGTTAGTGAGTGTGGTTTTGCGCAGTGTTCCTGCAATGCAGCGGCGGAGGAAACTGGTCAAACCAGGAACCGACTTCACATTTTGCATCCATATGGAAGAAATCGACCCTAAGCCTTCGGCGTGACGAGCCAATACTACTGGACTAACCCATCGCCCATGAAAATAATGACAATCAAACAGTGAGACGATGGCCTGAACCAGTTGACAGTCACAGGACGTATATTTCAAATCACACATCAGTTTAAACCAGTATTGTTTTAACTAAAACTATGTTTACCAATTTAACAGTTACTGTTAATTCGATGCATATAAACAGCTCAATCTATTGTTGAATATCGATACTGAAAGTTGAATCGAAAATTGTATGCTGGTCCGTTTTAAATCATTTAATATTATTCGATATTTAAACAGTTGCAAGGAAAGTAAAACATGCGTTTTGACAAGTGCCGTGACGTCATTGTCACGTGACTGAACCAATATGGCTGACAAGTTGTGAATGAGTGAGTAATCCTGTTTATTATCGCAATTCACACGTCATTATTTGTCTCAGTGCAATTAATTTCGATGCACATTGCAGTTTAATTCAATTTACTTTTGTAAACACATTTTCCTTTTCCAGGCATTACCGAGTATCTCCGTCATCCAGGAATACTTCTGCGAACTGTTGTCGACAGTTCTCCCGGTCCTACTCATAACACGGAAGTGAGGGTAGGATTCAGCGGGTAGCATCTTCATCTTTCTGGGTATCATCAAGTCAAGTCAAATCTCACCAATACACTTCTTGAAAATGTCCAACGAGGATTCAAATGGACATCTGTACAACGTCCCTCTGTCCAGTGATAGCGAACCAGGTAAAATGAATAATTTATGAAAATTATGGCATCATGTTGCTTGTCGACCACGATGTTCACTGCAAGCATGGCAGGTGTGCATTACAAAAAATTGTTGGTTGTATTTTATGTAACAGTTTGAAGTTCGTCTTTAAATGCTTTACATAGTTGATACAACACTGTTGTAAATTATCCCAGAACGAGAGGTATGTGTTTTCTATCTTCGTGAATAAAAAATTGTTTGTACAAAATAAGTCATAACAAAACACATCGACTTTTATGGAAATTAGTTTGGGTTTTTTAATATTCACTCAGGAAAATGTCTACAAGTTTTATAATTTCTTTTCTGATATATTTACACATAGAATAAGTCAGGACTCTGTTGAGCATACATGCCATGGCAGCCTTTTACAAAAGATATGCCAAGGTGAATTTAGCACCATATAATTTTAAATACTAAAAATATATAAATTATTTAGAAAGTGTCTGCAATCAGCTCTTCCAGATCATTGTTTTTACATTAAATTTCATGTGGTATGGCTAAAAATGTATCACATGATGTTTTCTAGATCAGCAGATTTGGCTAAGGTACAAGATACATATGTTGAGAACTTTTTGTAACCATAAGTTGTTTGAATGGGTTAATGATTCCAATCAGCATAACTGATCATTAAGTATCAACTGTTCATGGGTCTAATGAGTAGGTGTCACCCAATCAACATGACCAGTCATTTATTATCAACTGCTCATTGGATAAATGCATGGGAGTAGAATGATAATAAGTCATCAATATTCTGGAATATAACCATGGTACCACGGATGAATGTGGCATTTGAAAAAGGATTGTCACCATGTCTTATGTTATTCTCCTTACTTTAATCCAGGAATTACATAGCAATGTACTATAAACTGGGACTGATACTCCGCCTTCTGTTGACACAGTCATGATCAATCATTGTTTAGGTGAATCACAACACTATTAATAGGTGTATCCATGAGATGGCTTTCTATAACACTAAGTAAACAGTTATCTTTCCATGTTAACAGTGTTACACAATTTGTTTCTTTTTTAAGCATATAGTTGTGTGACTGTCAGTTATTGTTATTTGAAAATATGAAGCAGCTGGAATTATCAATTTTACCTATTCTCTTTTTAAGGGGATAATATGGAAAAAAATAAAGCTATCGTGGAACAGGAAAATACAAAAAATGAAGGATTTACTGGAACAACACACAGTAAGTATTAAGTCATTATCAATATGGTTTACCAATCATAAGGAATGTTTAAGAGCATCAGCATTGAAAATCATTTGCCATCAGCTGTCATGTCTCAGCTCCTCAGCTTAGGGGGGCAGTAGAGTAGCCTGATGGTTAAAGTGTCCGGTCGTACGCTGAAGATCTGGGTTCAATTCCCCACTTTGGCAATATGTGTGAAGCCCATTTCTGGTGTCCCCTGTCGTGATATTCCTGGAATATTGCTAACAGCGGCGTAAAATGATATTCACTCGCCCACTCCTTAGCTTAGGAAAACTTCCTTTATCACTGGGGACACAAGTGGCCCAGTTCACTGAGGTGCTGCAAGTTGCTGTGCAGAGTTGTGCCCCTTGGTTGTGCCAAAAACCAATGATCAAGGCTTTCAATGTACTGTTTTTCCCCTATGACCTATGTGCTTGTGGCTGTTACCTAAGTGGTGAACATCTGAGACCTATGTCACTTCCGGTTTTCCTCTGATATTAAGCTGACACACCATGATATACAGTAGAAGCCCTCTAAACCGGCATTAGTTGGCACTGGCAAAAAATGCCGGTATAGAGGGTGTGCTGGTTTAGAGAACTTTTCCCGTTTCAACGTGATAATGCTCTTCTGTGTGCCGTAAAATATGACTGAACAACGTGTTGATTGTCATCATAGAAAGCGTTAATTAATGTACAAACAGTCAAGTGGGCGGTGGGGTAGCCTAGTGGTTAAAGCGTTCGCTCATCACGCCGAAGGCCCGGGTTCAATTCCCCATATGGGTACAATTTGTGAAGCCCATTTCTGGTGTCCCCTCCTGTGGTATTGCTGGAATATTGCTAAAAATGGCATAAAACCATACTCAGACAGTCTGCCGGGACCAAATTCTAGTGCCGATATTGAAAGCATGCCGGATTGGAGGGCTGCCAGTTTAGAGGGCTTCCGCTGTATTGAGAAAACGGGTTGTCTTCTCATGAATACTACACACTGAACCTTAACACAGTAGTATGCATTGATTCATTATAATCCACTTTAGAAAGTTAACTGTACTTGAGGATTCTGGTGTCCAGATCAAGCCCATGGGCATTCTTTGGAAGACAATAGTAGCGTCAAGTATGTGTCAGAGGAGTCGCTGCATAACTGTACATATCACAGTACATGTCATACAGTGCAAGTTTTCAAAGGGGGAACTCATTCCTGCTAAGAAGTTACTGCCTCCATATTTTAGCGGATGGAGAGTCTGGAGACATTAAAATGTCACTTCTTGTTTCCCAGCCTTGTACTTACGGGAATGACTGGTATCCATGTAGCTTGTAAGTTTGTTAGCACTTTAAGACCATGACTTCAACATTGCCTGATCATGATGATGCTAATTCAACTAGTGATATATATTGGCCTGACTTCTGCCTTGCAATAAACAATTGAACCTCAGTGTGTCAAATATGGATGTATGAAATTCCTGGTTGTCTCAAGATCATGTTCCTGTCCTTACCAATTCCTTGTAATGAAACCCGTGAAGATCCGGGTTAGAATTGATCTTCAGTAACCCATGCTTGTCGTAAGAGGCAACTAACGTGATCGGGTGGTCAGACTCGATGACTCACATGTCATCGTATCCTGCGTAGATCAATGCTTATGCTGTTGATCACTGGATTGTCTGGTCCAGACATTATTATTTACAGACCATCGCCATAAAGCTGGAATATTGCTGAGTGTGGCGTAAAACTAAACTCACTCACTCCTTGTAATCATTGTCTAGTCAGCATGTATGTCCATCTTCCTTCTGTCTCCAGAGCAGAACTCCTTAACCATAATTCCACTTATAGTTCAAAGCGGGGGATATAGTATTACTACTAGTCACTATGAGTCTCCGTCCATATGTACGTACGAATTGGAATATCTTTGACTTTAGATTCTTTTCATATTTGGTACCTAGGTTCATCACCTTTACCTTCATTTCAAGGTCACAAGGGGACTTTAACGTTTTACCTGCATGTTAAGCTATCTCAAGAACCGTTCACTGGATTTTCTTCATATTTGACACCAAGCTTCATCTAGGGAAGGCCCAGGGCCCAGTCAGTTTTGGTGACCTTCACATAATTTCCAGGGTCAGGACGACACTTTGAAGATTTCAGCATGTTAACCTGAATTGTCAGCAAGATATTTTAACGGTTCACTGGATTTTCTTCATAGACATTCAAGACTTCCCTTGAATGTTTTTCAAAAAGCAATTTCTTTAGTACTATTTTTGCATATTTCATACACTATGACATTCATGTCACGGTCAAAGTCAGTCTTGAAAATATTTGTGTGTTTGAACAACTAAAGAGCAAGATATCAAGAGAGGTTGACTGGTCATGTTTTTGTTGACATTTAACTTCATCTTAAACTTTCATTACTTTATAAGTTTGATTTGATAATTTGCGGCGAAGGGGATTATGTCACCTTAGTGACAATGCTTGTTGTAATTTGATATACAGATCAATGTAGTGGTCAACTGGTAACTTTTGATGATTTTTGGATACTGATAGATACTGAACAGCAATATATTACTGTTTACTGAACTGAAGGTGTCCAATGGCAATATAAGTAACAAAACTCCTTTTTGCAAATTTTTGGATTAAGTGACAAATTTATGAATTTCATAAAACCAATTTCACTAATCACTTACACAAAGCTAGATGAAAATATTCATATTTTGAAAACACTATATACTAGTATTTTCATCATGTTCATTGGTATATCAAATCACGATATAACATTAACATCGCAGAACACTGATTGTCAGTTGTGAAAGTGTGACTGGTTATCCTCCCAGGTTTGGACCCAGACATCAACCCTGATGAAGAAGAGGAGAAACAGAGACTGATCACACAGGTGTTGGAGCTGCAGAACACACTGGATGGTGAGATGAAAAGGCATACAGATGTCAGTCTGTAATGGAGTTGTTAAGAAATACAATAAATCCAGGGTTGGGTTGGATGTCATCTTGTGGAATAATAAGTTTAATGTAACACATGTTATATTTGGGATTACACTTTCTCTGTAAAGTTCAGATTCTAGTACTCTCTTGTTGGGTCAAGTCACCTCCGGGATTGGAACCCACACTCCCAGAGTCATGTGTCTTATCGCCAGCACAGAAAGTCCTTACCCACTCTGCCAATGGACCTTCCACTGTGATTCAACCTAACTAAATTATAACATGTGTTACATTTGATCACTCTCTAAGTGGCATTGAGTATTCAAAGTTAAATGTTCATTCTCTATCAATGAAACTTTATTAACCTTGTTGTTGAATTAATGATTCACGGCCATAGAAATGTTCAGATTTGTTAAGATTGCCCTGGTTGAGATGCACGATAAGAAGTCAGAAGTTCAAAGGAAAATTTGTACCAAAAAGCAGATCAGCTTGGTTGTTTGACATAAAGTTGATGAAGCACAGGTCCTTGTTGGAATCTCAATCTCAACACATATGGAGTAACTTTGTAATTATTAGAACTGATCTTCAGTGAAAAAATGCTTGTCGTAAGAGGCAACAAACGGAATCGGGTGGTCAGGCTTGCTGACTAGGTTGACACATGTCATAGTATTCCAATTGCATGGGTCAATGCTCATGCTGTTGATCACTGGATTTTCTGGTCCAGACTCGATTATTTACAGACCGCCACCATATAACTGGAATATTGCTGAGTGTGGCGTAAAACTATACTCAATCACTCACTCCAGTACAATAGATGCTGTTGACACACAAGAGGCTTCTATAACATTGTAACTACTCTCTTGAGACTACTGGTTAAAGTTAAGTAATAAGACAGAGGAATAACACTGTTTGTGGATGGTGTTGTTTTCTTTTCAGACATAGCAAACTCATAACATGTGACTTTATTCTTTTCAAATTGTTTTCAATTTGTTTGTTTATTCAGAAAATGTTGTGTTTGTTATCTGTCCAAAGTATTTATTGTGAGTGTTAATTACTGCATGGCGAGTTTTCTAAGCTGCATATTCTACTAGATTACTTGATTTAAAAGTTTGTGTAACTGACTTTACCTGATCGTGTTTTCAGATTTGTCATCGCGTGTGGACACAGTGAAGGAGGAAAACCTGAAACTTAAGTCTGAGAACCAAGTTCTTGGCCAGTATATTGAGAACCTAATGGCGGCCAGCAGCGTTTTCCAGTCGACTTCCCCCAAATCGAAGAAGAAGTAAACCTCACTCTCAAAGTACGTGTACAGAAGGATCTGTCACATTGTTCAATCATGTTGATGTTTTTTCACCTTTGTCTATGGCAGATAAATGTCAAGTTCAGGTATTAATTGTTAACATTGATTCCATGCTACATTGGGCTGTGGGGTAGCCTTGTGGGTAAGTGTTTGCTATGTTGTAGGACAGAGTTCAATTCTCCACATGAGTACAAAGTGTGAAGCCTACTACTTGTGTCTCCCATCATTATCTTGCTGGAATATTGCTGAGAAGACATACTCATCCACTTCATTATTCCAGGTTTATTTCCCACCTGAAGGTTTAATAAAAAGTCATCTTCTATAGCACACATTTTCCAAACACCAAGTGATTGCTCGCGGCGCTTAATTAGAATCTGATTCTTATTACCCCGGATAACCCAAGCTGCCTGTTAGGCGCTAGAAGGTTATAGTCACATGACTTTATCCAACCGGGTACCCATTTTCTGCTGGGTGAACAGAGGCAATTTGAACAAACTTACTTGCCTAAAGTGAGATCACATGTGCTTCATTGTGGGGCATGACTGAAGTCCTAGAAACTCTCAGGAGTCGAGGTGCCAAACACGGTCACCCATCCAAGGATTGTCCGAGCTCGACGTTGCATAACTTCAACTGATTCGTGACCTGAGCTCTGTACACAGGACCACACGCCACCAAGATATAACTGAAATACCTTTGAAAGAGGTGTTAAAGCAACCTCACTACCATACATCAGTAACCTCTACTGAATAATGTTGAACAGTACAAGCATAATGGGAAAACAGCGTCCAGATAGTCGACCCTTTCAGTCCCATATTCCATATCAAACACAGAACTACACAGAAGACTTGTCAATAATCGTGATGTGGTGCATACCTGTTGGATGCTCTCGCATCTGTCTATTATCATCATCCCTTACCTGTGACATCAAACCACTTACCTGTGACATCAAACCACCTACCTGTGACATCAAACATTCACATGGTTTATTTTGTGATGTCCCATAAATATTTTAATGCAGAAAACTGATACATTTCTATATCTAAAGATTCTCAAGAACTTGTGAAATATTGTCTAGTAGTGTCAAAATGGTTTGTAGTCTTTTTGATTTGTAGGTAAAATACAGGGCCATCTTAAACTGTTATAGATTCTTTTCTTGTCCCCAGCCATGCATCATCTGTAACATGGAAATTTAGCAATGTCACAATAATTACTAATCAGTGAATTCCAAAATGAAGTAACAGGATATAAGGGAGATAACTCTGTATGGATTTATGGCCTGGTTGATGATATCCTATAGTTGAACGTCTTCATATATTCTTGAATTTTAAACATTATCCATGAATTCTAATAGTTTTATATTATTTTTTTTTCAGATGTGGACATCCATTATACCTGTGATTACAATGTGTACAGATGCTAGTCAGACAGAATCTCCATTGATTGTTTCTGGTCATTCAGTGTTCAGTGTTAAACTATCACCCACATTTCACAAACAGCTGAATCAATATTTCTATACCAAGGCCTAGTCCTTGTTAAAGAGAAATATCTAGCGAAACTGCTAAAATATTCAGAGGATATGTGCAATAAATTATTTTGAAATTCTATCATGCGTAGCTCTGATAAGTTGTCCTTATCTTTCATAATGTCTTGAAGTAGTTACAAGCACTATTGTTTGTACATTGCATGTTGTGATTGAGCACATGTATATATTTGCATATTATACTACAGGAAGGGCTATGGCTGTGAATGTAATATAGCTTCTGTCATTGTATGTGGAATGGGACCTTTCGGGGGCCATCTCAAATGTTGGTGCACTATTTTTGGAAATAGTGACTTGGGTCAATTGAGTTCAAGGCTGGATGTACCAGTGTCAGAAATCTAATATGTTGATAAACTTGTTACGATTTTTAACTGCATTTGATAATTGTTTATCAGGACATTAGCAAATGTCCCATATTTTGATATTGTTTTCCAAACCAATATGATATATGCCTATGATGTTGTGTTGTGATGTGTCATGGTAGATATTTTCAGTAAGCAGCATTTGTTGACCTTTAAAGGGCATTAATTTCAAAATACGATACAAAACTGCATAATGATAAAGATATACTACATGATAATCAAATATTGTGAACTGGTTGTTTTGTGTCTTGGACAAGATGTTAGGACAAACAATATTTTTTAAAGACCTGTATCTCATGTGTTGGGTTTTTAATAACTGGGATTGTTTAAGTTGCTTGTTCTGACAGTTCTGGGGATAAGGTGCCTCACTGGATTTTGTACATTTAAGAGATTTAGCCCAAATATATCCATTGTTATATGTGAGTACTTTGTAGAAGGCTTTGTTTTCAAAACAATATATACACTTTATCAGGTTGGGTATATGTTCTGTTGAACCAGGGATAATTATTGCAAGTGGTTACTTATACCGGAGGACATATTCCACTTTTACAGTACTAAACATGAGACTAAGACAATGTTATTTTCCATATTCACAATTTTTTTCTGTCCAAATGTTATTATTGAAACATGCTATTGGTAAGCACCTTTTATCTTTATACAATTTTGTGATGAATTATGACGCCAATTTCATGGGGAGGGTAAAAGAAGAGCTGCTACTGCCATCACCATGTTTACAAGTATAGTCTTCAACATTAATGCATAATGAGCACACAAGACCACTTATAGACAGTAGTGTCATCAGTCTGCCCAGTTTCATTCAGTATACAAGAATAAATGCTTGCCAATACAGTGTACAAGGTTGGATGTGCATGTTAGCTTCAGCCAACAGCTTTTTTAGTACGGATCTGTTTTTGTCTGTGTTCTGCTTGGTTCTTACCAAACTGATGAGAATGTATGGTATCATTTCTCCATCTGTGTGTGTTCAGTTGAATGGACGGTTTGTTACATGTTTTTATGTCATGGTATCAACATGAATAAACTTCTTTTCACTCGACATCTTGCGTTCTTGTATATAACGCTTAGACATTTTCAACCGGACATGGCATGACACACCATACTACATTGCACAAGATGGCATTCCAACTTTTTTATCTGTGCTTCTTTTAAATAAGGGATGGGGTGGTCTGGCTCGCTGACTTGGTTGTCATCGGTTCCCAAATGCGCAGATTGATGCACATGCTGTTGATCACTGGATTGTCTGGTCCAGACCCGATTAGACCGCCACCATATAGCTGGAGTATTGCTGAGTGCGGCATAAAACTAAACTCACTCTTTTAAATAATCAAGTTTTAGTCACACTATACTATGAATGTCCAAAACTGTCATGGTACATTATCATCTGAGCCAATATGGTGGGATCAGACAACAGAGTGCTTGGGGCCTTGTTCGAACCAGCATCTCAATCTGTGCTATCTTTTGAGTCTTCTAATCCAAACAAGGCTCTAAGCATCATTTTTAGTAGATTGTAGTAATCATACAGACTACAACTGGCTCAGCTTCCTTGACTGAACTGAATGTACCTACCCTAGTGTTTCGGACTAGTGACTACCATCATCCCTGCAGGGCACAATATCCTGTTGAACTTTTCAAACAAGCAACAAAACATGTTTTCTGCATCTTCTTTATTTTGAGCTTTATCTGACAAACATGTTTAGTACAACCGTCCACAGAGGGAAACTAGGTCAGCCGATTGGGGGAAGCAACATATATATACACAAACTGGTGTTGCATATGGATGGGGAAAACATGAACATAATATGAAGAATATTATACATCACGATGGGGACCATATCAGCCAGGCATGCCAGTGATACCTAAACAGCATTTCTCTGTCAAGCCATCTGGCTGACAAATCCTCCAGACGGACAATTCCAGGGAACCCGGTTCTGTTGAGACTTGGTTTACAAATTATGAGTAACTGTGGTAAAAATGAATGGTTTATATAAAGGTGATCTGAAAAATATACTCTACGGTAAAATAATACAAAATGAAAACCTTTTCCTATGAACATTCAGATTGACTTTTCTCTATTACCCAACTGGTTTTTATTACTGAAATAAGAGAAAGAAAATTTAGCTGAATTCCACATTTGTGGAACATTTGGTGTGCAGGACATCAATCCTCAAAATAATCAAAGCACAAAAGATAATCATAACGTCCATACTTAGCCTTACCATCATAGTGATGAGATTGTAACTTTTGCAATTTTACATAGACTTAAGCCATTCATAGCTCTATGTTCATCTTAACCCACTTTCATATTGACTGACAATAATCCGCCCTGGAATGATCCTACAACCAGATAAAACAAGCTTTAAAAGATTTCTTCAAAATGACATCTTTCTAAAACGTTTTCAGTTTTCTGAACTGTAAAGACGCAATGGACCAAGAATTTGTTTTGAACACATGAAGCATATGTTTACTAATGTGTGTTCCAGCATTTAAGGTACGACCCATGACATAATGGCAAGCAATACTGAGACCACCCTCACGCTTTAAATGCAACATTGGTACGTAACCACATTGTGTGACACATTTACCCATGTAAAATCAGATATAACAAATCCTACGCAATCGAGATTTAGGATGTAAAAATATTCCTTAAATAGTATTTAGGTTTGAAAGAAAGCATTAATTCACTTGCTCAACACTGAATAAAATGATTAAAAATATAAATAACATCCCCATCCAACTCAAGAAATACGTAACATGTTCATTTGGTTAAGCCTTCAGTGTCTCATTTTCTAGGACATCATGTCACTGAAAATATCCAATAATATTTTATAATCTAATTTGCAAAAGAATTCTTAAAACATCTGAAAGTAAGACTTGTCGCTATCAAAACCACTGGCCTTAACCATACCCCAAACAGAAAGGTTGAAAAAAAGGAGTGTCAAATTTTAAAATTTTACCGAACAACAGGTACTCAATCCAAGCCCATGGAGTTTCACTCTTTACTATTGAACAGTTTATACTGAATTTACAATTAGTTTATATCCCAACACAAAAACTTGACAGATGTCCAAAAACAATTCAAATCACAGTGATGGAGACAGTGAATTCTCAGTTTGAAATCGATCAATAGAAAGCTGTTTCACACAAGGCCAGGGGTAAGCCACATACAGTGAAAACTACTTGTCGACATTTACAGACAGGATCAACACTATTTATCTTGACCCGTTTGGAAAAATATTCTTAAGTACTTTATCTCCGCAATTCCCACTAGAGTGCTCACAAACCTAAAGCATTTCCAAATTCTCTTCTACATAATGCTGTTTAGCAAATCGCCTGGGTGTATCTATAAAACCTTATCTCACTGAGACCTCTGTATCAGATTTAACATTCTCGACACCAAATAAATTAAATCTCCATTGTAAAATAAACACCAAGGACCCATTTACTGACATAACACAGGAAACTGACATCAAAATATCTTGCTCCTTTCAGGAACTTGGCATATACTGGAGAGTAATGAAACTGAGTGCAGTTGTACAAAACAACCTTATGGTTAGGGGTGATGATGATTTTAAGTGTGTGTGTGTGTGTGTGTGTGTGTGTGTGTGTGTGCCACCCATTTTGTTCTGGGGAGGTAATCAATTTTGTACACGTTTCTAGGGGGGTGAGCAATTTTGTACATAAAAATATTTTAAAATTATGCTTTAAAAATATGGAGGGGGTAAATTGACTTTGTACATGACATGCAGGGGGGTCACGTACTTTGTACATAAATTTTAGGGGGGTCATTCACATTGCACATGCTCTCCATAAAAATCATCATCACCCCCCAGCCATAAATTATGAACGGTCCCTTAGCAATTATTTTCTTAAGTCTATGTTAAGGTATGGGAGTTACGGTCACTTTAGCTCTAAGATTGCTTTGTACAACGGCATCCTGTACAGCTATTTGAAAGCATTGTTTACTCAAATCAGGCCCCCCAAAAAATTCTTTTGAAGAAAATGGCTGGGTTTTTTTTCTTGATATGCCTCTCAAAAAGAACTTAAATATCTTTCATTTCAATTTTGTTTGTCAGGGTGTGACAGATTAACAGTAGTCATATGAAAGAACAAGTGTTCTTAACTTCTTTCGAGTGATCGAAAATGGAGACATAACACACTGGATAATCATGGATGAGATTTTAATGTAGAGAAGCTAACTCCATGAAGTGCCAATCTTTACCCAGGTCTTCTGACAGCCCCCCTCACAGATACCCCTCAGAGCGTGTAGATACCCCAGACCCTTAGTCCTACCCACCCCCCACACCGTGTATATATTCCAAACCCAGGTCATGATTCAGTAGATCAGTACATGTCACTGTAGGAAACACCTGGTCCAAGTTACAGTCTGTAACCGCCATATTGCTGTAATACTGCTGAGTGAGGTGTAAAACTAAACTCAATCAATCCAGTCTGTAGCAGCGCACAAAGCATACTATTTTGTGAATAGATGCGCTATAGAAATGCACATATTATTATTATTATTAATTCCACCCAAAGCCTTATCGGAGCCCTGATGAATTTCAATCACAAAACTAAAGGTTCATTTAAGCTTTTTAACCACTCCAGGCCATATGAACCAGGTTTCCTCAGATGAAGGTAAATATCAACTCGGTTTCCACTCTGCCCATACCATCCTACGGTGTTAAAACAATGTACATTGTGAACCAGAGGGATCTAGGCATGTTTAACTCTAAGGAAGCACAGGGTCATTTGAAGGGGTAAATCACTGTTGACAAAGATCATCCACAAAGGTTTAAGCAAATTTCAGCAAACCATGAAAATGAACTTTCTTGTCATGTAATATGAGATGGTGATTGGTAATAAAGCATATAGCCTGTTTGAAGTCACATTATCATTTTGAAAACCTTTTCAACAAAAACCTTTTCAACAAAAACCTTTTCAATGTCTCTTGAAGTCTGTACAAACCTTACAATTTCTGTCTCTTTCTGAGCAGGTCAGCTAAAAAGTTCTCTCTAAATCTACATCAGACAATTCATGTTCCTTCAACAATTGACCTTGAACTGGGTTTCCCCTCTCCACAAGAACTGCCTGCTCTATGAAGTAACAAGGGAGCTTGACGAGCTTACTCCAATAGCAATGGACTGCTCTGTTGATGCCAATGGAGATTTGTGCATGTTCTACTTAAAGGGGCTTGTTCACAGCAAGTAACAGTGAAACAATTTTGTGCACAATATACCACCAATGTGTTGGATGATGCTCTGAATGTGACTAACATCAAATCACAAACAAGGCCTTGACAAATAAGAACCAGGGACTACTCAAGTAGAAACATATACTTGGTGGATGAAAAAAACAGTACCAAGACCACAGATTTCTTGACGGACAAGGATTTATTGGTAAATACCACTTATAAATTCAAAATACAGCTTGAAGGAGTCAGGTCTAACCTGCGTTGCTACCAGGTATTTTACAAGAAAACATATTACACTGTATGTTCATGAAAAAATTTGCTAAGAATAGTTCTGTTGCCCTTGCATTTCTTCAAAGGTAGTCCTTTAGTGTCGATGAATAACACGATCAAAGTACACACAGTTGTGTGAATCTCGACGTATACATGGCTTGTTCTACTCAACACTTGCTAAGGACCACAGTAGTCATCTTTAGTTAAAGTTGTGGCCCTTTGCAAATTATGAGTAGTATGAGTTCTTTTTCCTTTTATACTGAACAGAAAAGGTTAGGGATCGTGAACATTTCCAGAGGATGTTTTGAAGTAATTGCATTTTCGGTCAACACTACAAAAAACAGCACCCAAACTGTTCAAAACCCCTAACTCTTTTTTGTACAGTACGGATAAATAAGCTGTCTTTGTCAGAATGAATGAACTGTACATGAACTCCACTGCCACACCAATGCCAACAAAACTGATGGACAGAGCTTGGGACATACTTAACTTTGCAATATAAATAACACTGCTCAAGACCAGTTTATCATAATAGCACTTTTTACCGACACTGCATACACAAGTTGCCTCTTGCCGTGGACAAATTCAATAATTATACTCCTCAGTGTCATGAAGCGGAGTTCGAAGGCCGAAGCCATCCTTCACGTAACCGGATTTTCATATTGCTTCTTGGAGAATGAACACTATCTACTGAATTTTCATCAACATCTACAAGTTGGCTGCGGGTGACCCGCCTTGGCGTACTTTCCCTCGAGTCTGGACGACGCCCAGGCTCAGATACATCTGTCCCCTCGCTAGACAACGGCGAGTGAGACCTGTACCCACGACAATCTGAAACAAGTTCCATGTCTTTGGTAAACTCAGAATCTGTACTCAATGCATCAAATCCTGTCGCAAAAATGTCTCTCTTTACACCTGCACCAAACCCGGTCTCTTTCTTCCGTGAACTTCTCATCTCCCCCGTTTTTGAAAGCTCAGATTGCTCCTCACTCTTTTCACATGGACTTTGTATTTTCTGGGGTGTGTGTTCTGCACTGTCCCCCTTCTTGGGTATCTTGTACCCACTGAGGCTGCCCCTTGGGGTATAATGCGCACCAAACAAATTGTTCTCAAATGGGACCTTCCCCTTGTCAGGGGATATCTCATTAAGGATTCGATTACCCGCACGTAATGACAGTGAAGATTTAGTATTACCAGATTCACTTTCTGTCTTTATTTGAAAATATTTATCTAGCTTCTGCAGCGACTTGTCCTCAACACCATTCATGTAACGTAATTTTCTTGACTTGAGCAGTTTATTCTGTACTCTCTCCTTGACTGACACATCTACAATATACTTGCTCGACTTCCTCAGAACACCATTAACTTCTGGTTTTATACATTCAGTCTTTTTACAGTCACGAGACAGAGATAAAGTCACATCTTTTCTTTTGTCTGGGGATCGATGTTCCCCTCGTCTATGTTTGTGACCACGACGTCGGTGCTTCTCCTTCCTTGATTCCCGTTTGGGTTGTGGGACTTCCTCCACAATGACAGCATCTGGTATGGACAAGCGTGATGGGGACACATCCACTTTGGGCATTTCAATCTGATGCCGATTTTCCCTCTGTGACCGCCGAGGACGTTCGGAATCAAACACAGAAGTTTCTACTTTTGGCTTGACTTCAACCCGTGTTTCAATGTTAGGATGGAAACTGGCACTGATAACAGGTGGGTCAACAGCAACAACATCGACTATCTCACTCTCGGACAGAGCTTCCACCTTCTCCTTCCCTTTACCCCGAGTTCTTTCACTCTTATCTCGGCCAATTTTCACCGAAGAATCATCAGACTTACTCTTTTCACTAAGTATTTCTTTTTCAAAACTCTCTGAATCAGCCTTGATTTTTACACCATCAACTGCAGGCTCCCTCACTGCCCTTCTTTCTGGTTTTTCCTCCCGTAACAATTTCTCACTGATGTCTTTCCAAACATGAGCATCTTTCTCCACCTTTTCCCCTGAGTCACTGCCTTCTTGTCGATTATGTCTTTCTCTTGATTTCTCACCATCTTTGCCTCCTTGTCGATCATATTTTTCTCTCCTGGAAACTTTTTCGTCCTGGTCCCTTCCCCCACTTCTCTCCATTTTATCTTTCCCTGACTTTTCTGAATACATCTTTTCACTCTCTGCTTTTTCTTTCCCTGACCTTTCAGACTGAAGTTTTAAGCTCTCTTTCTCTTTCCCTGGCTTTTCACACTGAACTTGAACACTGTCTTTCTCTTTCCCTGACTTTTCAGACTGAAGTTTCAAACTCTCTTTCCCTGACTTTTCACACTGAACTTTTGCAATATCAACTTTTTCCTTCCCTGACTTTTCTGGATGAACTCTGACACCTTCCCTCTCTTTCCCTGACTTTTCTGAATGGACTTTTGCACTTTCCACTCTCTCTTTCCCCGACTTTTCAGACTGGAACTTTAGACCGTCTTTATTTACAGTACTTTTTATGACAGCATCCTCCTTCCCTGACTGTCTTGATTTTTCTTTCGAACTAACTCTCTCACCAAAATCTTTCCCACTTCGCCTTTCTGTTCTCTCTTTCCCTCGTTCACTGTGATCTGTAACACTTTCTCTTTCAGTCCTATCTTTTCCGCTTTGCTTATTCCATAATTCCCTGCTTCTTGGCTTGTCAAGCCAATCTTTTCCAGATTCTTTTTCACATCTGTCTTTTTCACTCCTGCCGGAATTGCTGCTCTTGGAGGACAACCTCCCTCGGAAAGAACTCCCAGCATCCCTGCTGTCACTATCCAAACTTTCACTATCCTCGCCTAGCCACGGAGGCGACAATACACTATCATCTTGAAACAGCTGGCTCACTACTCTTGGCTTATCTGTTGACGCCAAGCCTTCATATAGGCAGTTTTTGGTGTACTTCTGTGCTATTTTCTCCGCTTCCCTGGCAGACAGGTTTAGTCTCTCCTCAGTTAGTGTGTGCACTGCGGCAAGGAAAGTGCTTTCCCTGGCCTTGTAGTACTGGCGCTTGGTCTTCTCACGACGACTTATCATGTAACACAGGTTGCGCACCTGGAATGAACAAGGAAGACACATCAAACATACAAATGTGTTATAAACATTGGACAGGTCAGTTAACAAGGAAGTTAAATACCACATAGAATAGAACAGTATCTGCTAATAATCATTAACTCCTTAAAAGCTATCATTTTCTTATTTCTGAAATGAGATAAAAATCTTTTCACTGTAATGAGAGACATCAAAAGTATAGACAAGACAGCCACTGGCGGAAGGATTAACACAACTTGGTAATGACAACACAATCAGTACAGTTAAATAAGCCAGTACAGTACGACCAGAAGAGGGGGATCCGTTCTAACATGATATTACTGGTTAGAAGCTGGTCGTAATCGACAGTTTGGTGGATGGAGTGAAATTGTTCCAACAGTGCTCACAGCATCAACCAGTTGATGGTCCCAACTATTTAAACTTGCTGTCAGGCAGCTGGAATATTGAGCGTGCTGTTAAACAAGCTCAAGCACTCTCTCTCTCACACTCTCTGTCAGAGACACAGACACCTCCCACCACTCTTAGTCTGTTCCCAACTTCAATGCAACTACTGCATTAACACTGATAGTTTACATTAGCAACAACCAAATTGGATGCCTCACCCTCTCCAGATCCTGTCGGAGATGCACGAACATCTTCATGCGGGCCACAAGGGAATCCTCCTGCTGCTTCTCTAACATGTCAGCCTCCTCCGTCTTGGGCATCAGCAGTGGCTTGTCAAAGTTACTCTGAAGAGATAATTCAAGAAGTCAGGAACACCATGAAGAGAGAACTTGCTTATGTCTATAAGGCAATCATATTGTTTCGTATTTTGTTTGCTTCAAGTTATTAATTTGGGGAAAAAGTGTCATGTCCTCACCTTTCTCTTGAGTTTCCAGTACACCTCCATCATCTCGACTACTTCATCCTCCACAGAGAGGTTCATAGCGATGCTGTGGGTGTCCACAACATTGTAGAAGCTGTTCTGGAGCTCAGACATCCTGCAAGAGTATGGAAACATTAGTATCTACCTATACTTTGTAACGATGGAACACGTGTGCATGTGTTTGCTTAAAATACACACTCAGCAATATTCCAGCTATGACAGCAGCATTGAAATAATTGAGTCTGGACCAGACAATCCACTGATCAACACTGTGACCATGCTGATGGGCTGCAAAGAAACACAATTAACTAAGCCACCAAGCCTGACCATGGAATCCATTTTGTTTCCTGTATAGAACCAGTTTAGGTTTGGGACCAATTCTTAATTGCAATCCCCACTAGAGATCAGACAAGCAGTTGTCATTAAGGTGACATAATCCCCAGCCGCAAATGATCACATTAAGCTTAAAGAGAAATGAAAGTGAAGGTCGTAGTTTAAGATGAAGTTAAATGTCAACAAACAAAAACAAGCCCAGTCAACCTTTCTTGATATCTTGCTCTGTAGCTGTTCAAACACACAAATATTGTCAAGACTCACTTTGACCTTGACATAAATGTCATGGTGTATGAAATATGCATAGAAAAGTATTTTTAAATAGAGAAATTGCTCATCAAAAAACATTCAAGAGAAGTCTAGAAAGTCTATGAAGAAAATAGTGAACCGTTCTTGAGATACATCTTGCTGACAATCTTAACATACTGAAATCTTCAAAGTGTCGCTGTGATCTTGAAAATCACGTGAAGGTCACCCAAATCGACTCGGCCCTGTGCCTTCAATATATGAAGCTTAGTGTCAAATATGAAGAAAATCCAGTGAACGGTTCTTAAGATATCTCGCTGACAAGCTTAACATGCAGGCTAACATGCTGAAATCTTCAAAGTGTCGTCGTGACCTTACATTTTATTGTGAAGGTCACCAAAATCGACTGGGCCCTGCACAGTCCCCAGATAAATATGAAGAAAAGCCAGTGATTGGTTCTTGGGGTATCTCGCTGACAAGCTTAACATGCTGAATTCTTCAAAATGTTGCTGTGACTTTGAAAATTTCATGAAGGTCACCAAAATCAACTGGGCCCTGCGCCTTCCTTATTTGAAGCTTGGTGTCAAATATGAAGAAAATCCAGAGAACAGTTCTTGAGATGTCTCGCTGACAAGGGTAAAACATTAATGTCCCCATGTGACCTTGAAATGAAGGTCAAGGTCACCAAACATGACTGGGACCTTTCTTATACTGTGATGAACCCTAGGTACCAAATATGAAAAGAATCTAGTCAATGGTTCTTAAGATATTCCAATTCTTACGTACGCACATTCGGACGGAGCCTAATACTATATCTATACTATATATAACACTATAACACACAGTGGGGGATAATGAAGTGATTTACGTAATGACAGAGTGAGTTAGTGAGTCTGGTTTAACGAGACAAACATTTATAGCATCATCAGCTTAATGTTGAAGGAATACATGTAGTGGTCTATGTCTGACATCTTCTACTTTTGCTGAACACCAAGAAACAAAGTCTGACTCGAACACCAATACGAGGTTTCTGGCATGACATGGGACACTACTCTGCATGATGAATCTTGGCACCTCTGACAAGGTCCAGAGCAAAGTCATAAAGATGTAAATTACTTTTTAGCTCTCAAGTTGGCCACTTCTTCCTTGCTGAGATCTTTCCTTGGTGTCAGTGGAGTATCTTTACGTGGAGAATCCGGTTCAGAATCAGACTGACTCCGTTCTCGTTTCTTGCTATGACGAGGACAGAAAGCCTGAAAAACAAAATTTGAGACAGGAGCAATAAATCTTATGGCATGGTATTTTTTTACAAAAAGTAGAACAGAAAGCAAATCTAATTAGTTTTAACTTTTATTTCTAATAAAGAATAAAGTCCACAAAATAGATCTGTTCATCATCAATGTTTTATGACATCATGGCACAAGAGTCATGTTACTGGTATTTACCTTAAGCTTGACGCCATCCTGTTCGTCACTCTCGTCTAAGATTGTCTTCATCTCCAGTCCGTTAAATATGGCACAGGTTACGTGGAAAGCAGTCTTGCAGGTCTTGACTGAACACTGGATACAGGAGCCGACTCGGTCTTTACACACACAGCAGACCAACGCCCACCGACTTGCCTGCAACAAAAATATCTCGTCTCATACTTTCACAAACAGAAACTGGAATATAATTTGAATGTTTTATGTTTTGAGTAGTAAAAGAAGTGAAAGCAAAAGAAGGGAAAGTTCTTCATTACTGAGGAATATGTGAATGAATTGTAACAGCTCTAATACTTACAGGAATATTTGAGATCTTTGTGATTGGTTCCATCTTTTCTACACAGCCAATGCTGACTTCTGGGATCCACAGTGCACAACTCACGTGGGCCCACTTAGTACCACTCCTGTACAACACACACCAGTTCCATACATCATGTAATGACAAGATAATCAAATTCATATGTAATTTTTGGAGTAAAATTGATATTTTATACTTATCCTGACTCATGCTCTTTGCTTGTCTTCTTCTTCTTGCTTAACATAGTGGAACACTTGTATCTCCTTATTTGAAGCTCCCTTCAAAATAAAATCACTAATTGGTACTCACCACGAAGTTGCTCCCCTTTGTTTCCCCTGGCGGAAAGGTGTCGCCACCCTCTGGCCATGTGCTCCACTCTCCTGATTTTATGAGCCCAACACTTGAACTTACAGGGAAATCCAAAGTGTTGTTATGTGGGGAGGATGGGAGGGCCCTAACCTCATGAGTCAGGATAAGTATAAAATATCAATTTTACTCCAAAATTACATATTTTCCTTATCCTGACTCATGCTCTTGCTTGTAGCATCCCTCACGGACACGGAGGTGGGAGTAACAGAATACTTTGGATTTATAATTAGTGATTTTGTATAGATATACTGTAATATCCCCTACGGGAACTTCATGAAGGCTTAGACTTAGGATGTTTGCTGTATTAAAAAACCATAGGTTACATAATGCCATTAAAGGGGAATTACATTATTAATATATTGAACAATACATATAATATATATATATATAAGTGACTCTGATAGAGGCACTGAAACTGAACATATCATAGTATAAGCTTAAGGCTGAATAACTTAAGCTGAACATATATACATAGCCCTAAAACTCCGTAGAGTTATAAGCTAGATAAGTATGTATATAATACATATTAATCTTGTGAGGGTAATATTTAACGCCTACGAGGAACTGTCAGTTGCTGAGCGAGGACCAGTGGTCCGAAATGGTGAATGCCAGAGACATCTTCTGTAGTGATGTCTCTCAGGTAGTGATTAGCAAATACCATGTTAGATTTCCAATAGCATCCTTCCATAATCGTGTTCAAGGAACAGTTGCCGTGAAGGGCGAGGGTGGAGGCCAATGCCCTGATCTCATGTGGATTTGATGCTGTTGGTGGGTCCAAGCCTGCTGCCTTGTAGGCCGCGAGGAGAATGACAGTCCTTATCCAAATAGATATTGTGGTCCGTGACACTTCTGTTTGATTTGTAGGCGTATAAGGGGATGAATAAGCGTTTGAAAATCTTCTCCTTGTTTTGGATCGTCAAGAAATAAACTTTGAGCTCTTACTGGACACAGTGATAAGTCTTGTGTATCTTGTGATCCCAGAATAGAGGATAGCCGGGATGTGGAATAACCTGTCTGGTTGACCTGGCAGTTGATTTTTAGCGATGAAATCCCATCTTAGTCCGAGGTGCGCTGTGTTATGATTGTCATCAAACTGTATCCTCTCAGTAATCTAGGCGCGTGAATTTCAGACATTCTTGCTGCGTGGCTAGAGATAGCAGAAAAAGTGTTTTCTGTGAGAGAAATTCAAAAGTTGTCGATTCCAAAGGTTCATAAACCTCCTTTCGTGAGGTGTTGTAACACTATATTCAGATCCCAAGCTGGAAGTGGAACTTCCGCTTTTGGTCCTCCAATCGGAATGCTCGTGAGTAAGGCCAGTAACTCTGGAGATCTTGTCAACTTGACACCCGCTCTCATGGTGATTACAGAACTAAGCGGCAAGATATGTTGATATCGTTGAACCTTTTAAATGTTTGTTTTGGCGCAGGTAACACAAATAGTCTGCCACTTGAGGCTGTGAAGCCTCTCTCGCTGTAAAACCTTTCTTTGCTGCATAATTTTCAAACTGTGCCACTTGTCGCATGCTTACAAGTTCACGAGTTGAACGGCGTAAGAGCAAAGCGTGACTGCTTTGCAGCCCTGGCAGAATATCCTCTCTTGTTTAAACACATTTGTATACAGTCCATACGTGTAGTTGGAACATTGCTGGGTTTCCGTGCACTTGTTTGGTGTGAGGATGAATTAACAGGTTTCAGCTTGGGTAGCTCCAGTGCTGGTTGACCCGATTTCTTGAATTAGTATGGGAAACCACGTTCTGGCCGGCCAGTAGAAGGGCGACCAAAGTGAGTTGTAGGCTCTGTGTTTGTCTGATTTTCTGTAATACTTGAGGTATTATTGCTGGTGGCGAAACGCGCACGCATTGAGGTCTTCCATGATAGACTTAAATCCGTTGCCCAAGCTTGAGGGTCTGGGACTGGTGACACGAATGTCGGTAGCTGATTGTTGAATCGCGCGAAAAGGTCTATTAGCGAGCTCCTAATTGCTTGATTATCTGTGCAAATATTTCCCTGTTGATCATCCACTCTGTCGGTGATGGTAGATGAGGCGAGTGAAGAGCGCCTGCTAGTATATTTCTGGCTCGGGAATGTGAACTGCTCTGACATGTAGATTTAGATCTTGTATTAAATCCCGAACAGTTGAAAAGCTTAGGTTCAAAAGGTTCAGCTATCTCGTTGAGCCTTGCTTGTTTATGTAGAAGCGCCACTGTCGAATTGTCTGTATGGATCATTAGGTCGCATTTTGTAGAAATGTGCTCCAATGTAGAATGGCGTTGATTACAGCTTTCATTTCTAGACTGTTTATATGGAGTTTGCATTCTTGCTGATTCCATAATCCTGATATCGTGTGGTTGGTGAGATGAGCTCCCCAACCTTGGAGTGAATAGCGTCTACATATAGATGGGTTTGAATTCCTGCTCTGCTAAACAAATCCCTTACACTTGAACATTCGATTTCTTGGTCCACCATAGTAGATGAGGTCTGAGATGTTTGGTAGACTGAATGGTTGTACATCGTTGAGATGTGCGTTGATGAGGACCTGTAGGGGCCGTAATCGTAATCTGCCTGTGACAGTCATGTCTTGGGCTGATGTGAGAAGACCTAGTAGGCTCTGCCATTGTCGAAGTGGTAACGGAGAGAGTAGAGCTGGTGGAATGGTCTGTTGTATCTTGAGCCAACGGTCTTCTGGTACAACGATCACGGTTCGCGATTTGTGATGAATCGAATACCTAGTAACTGCAGGTCTTGCGATGGTACTAGAGTCCGACTTTATGTAAGTTTACTAACCATCCCTAGTTGTGTTAGTAGCTTTATGATGTAATTTAACTGTAGTTTGAGATGCTGTGGATCTTGATCTACCTGTATCCCGTCAAGTCGAGGTAAAACGCGACTCGCATAGCCCTTACGATGTAGAAAGATAATCGGTTTCGTTATCCTGCGTGAATAGCCAGGGGGCTGATGATATTCGAATGGGAGTACTTTCCACTGGTAATGTAGTCCTTCTAGAGTAAACCGTGGAGGTATTTCCTGGAATCGGGATGAATGGGGATGTGCAGGTAGGCATCCTGTAGATCTATGCTGCCCATGTAGTCCATAGGACGAATCATCTGGCGTAACTGAGGTAAATGTATCATCTGCTGAAACCCATCGTGGTTTGCGTGTAGATAATTCTTGTTGAAAAAGCTCATGTTGTAGATGAGTCTGTATTTCTCCGTGGAGTTTTTCTTGGGGAACTAGGAAAACTGGGGAGTAGAAACCTGGTTCGACGTTTGCTTGATCTATTACTTCTATGGCCTGTTTGGATAGGAGTGATGAAACAGCCTCTCTTATCTTTGGTAGTTGTTGCGCTTGTAAATCGAACTTGAGGGGTTTGATTGTCAGCGGAGGCTTGGCCTGTAGTGGGATACGAAATCCGTGTTGAAGAATGTTGGAGACGTAAGGGTCTTGCAATATTCCCCAGTTTTCCCAGTGTAGTTGAGATCCACCCACTTGTGCTGGCTGTACTGGAGCGGCTGGGGTGGAAGACTCAGTCGTTCGAACCTGTGTTTCAGCGTCTATAGTTGCGGGAACCTCTGGGTGTCCTGCCTCTTCCTGATCCTCCTCTATAGTTGCCATATGGCCCGGCTGAAAAGAATCTTTACCTCTAGAGCTGGCTATCTTCCCTGTCTCTTGCTCTTTGTAGGCCTGTGAACTTAGATCTGCCTGAGTATCTTTGTGAAGTCTGGCCGAATGGCGGCTGGCTAGTGTGTCCATCGATTTAATCATAAGGACTTCCCTGGAATCCTTAGAGACTTCCTTGGCGACTTTGTCGATTTCTCCGTCAAAGATGGATGTTGTCGACCACGGGGCTGTATAAAGTGGGCTGTAAAGTTCTCCCCAATTGCAGGAAGCGAGGAGGCCTTGACGACGAGCTCACGGTCAGTGCTGCTGAAACAGATGTAAGATGATCCGTTAAAACTGCTGATCTTTCTTTTGCATAAGTAAGGCAGAATAAATCATTCTATCATCTTCCGTCCGTGGAATCCCGGAATCTAGTGATAAGAGTCTCATTGATCGTCCTAGATCTATTTAACCCAAAGAACATACGTCTCGTCATGGTTTCTATATGAGCCAACTTGCGATCATCCATCTTGTAAATCTTGTTCTTGACATCGCCCGATGATCTTATAGTTCTCATCGATGTCCTGGGCTTTGTAGAAAGAGTCCATGTTATCGTGGAGAACTTCTTGGCATGAAAGTTGGGCAGATGTGGTGTCTGAACTTTAAGTAGCTTTCTGGAAAGCTGCATCTAGATTCTGTGGCACTGCCGCTGATCGGGTCGATCGGGGGTAGAGTGATCGCATCTGGATCGTCTTCCTTCATTAAATACGCTAAGCTGTATTGCCACTTTTAGATGGTGATGAGAGATCTAGGTTATTGACCATCCAATACCGTATCTCTGCATCGGAGAAAATGATTCCTCCATCATCCTCAATACCATCATCATTAACGAATGGTTGATGCTCCGAATGGGACTGCGTGTAGCTGTCTGTATGTCCGATGAGGCTTGTGGCGATCTAGTTGACTTGTGCGCCGCTCTATGTGGAGATCTGACGGGTGATCGACCTGGTGATGAACGAAGTGGAGATCGTCTATGGGATGATTTTCTCGGAGACTTGTGAGGCTTAACGTTGATAGCTTGCACAAGCTCTTCTATAGTCCCTCGATGTCCTTCTAGATGATGAAGATCTGGAATCATATGGCCTTCGCCGAATGCCTTCGCGAAGGTTCATTTGCGTCCGGTCGGGGATCGATGATATGACCTTCGAGAAGGCCTCCGTGATGTCTGATGGTCGAGTCCATATCTAGAGATGAAATCGAAGATGGTGATGATCTATCCGCCCGAAGGCTGTACATCTAGCTCCTTCGTCAAGGTGGTGCGGGGACTTCCTTCGCGAAGGTGACATCGCCCTGGCTGCTACGTTGACGGGGGTGCCTCTGGGGTGCTGTCTACGTTGGAGCCTTCGCTGAAGGCTTCGGACCCTGCTTCTGCAGTTTGTAGTGGTCCTCCATGATGTTCATAATTTGCCGCATCATGTCTTCTGGGATGATCTGTGACGAAATGCGTCGGGCGTCTTCTCTCTGCGATGGGGTCCACATCAATAACGTCTGGCGTCAGTGTAGAGGCATCAGGCTGCATGGTGATCTCTGCAGAAGTCACAGTCGCTGACACCGGTCGCTTCTTGTGCCGTAAGTCGGGATGATTATCGGCTGATCATCGAGAGGCCCAATTCTGCTGCTGGAGCGATCTCGGCTGAGAAAGTTCTCGTTGTCTTCGTAGATTTTCCTTTGGAAGTCCTGCGCTGCCTTGGGTCCCTCAGTCTGCGTTGAGACGGCGTTGAGGCCCTCTTAGACTTGGTCTGCAATGGCCGGGATGTCTGGGGAGGCGGTCGTTTCTTCGAGGTAACGGACTCGTCCCACGTTCCTCTGCGCGCAGGGGTCTCTAGCAGAACACCAGGCGGAGAGGGTCGATCGCTAGCAGCTGACTGGATGGAATATCTGGACTCTCTGCCATGTTTTGCCCTTGTTTGCGTGACCTATCTGCAGCACGTCTTAAGGCGCAAAAGATGATATTTATTAAATGCAGAATGAGATAAATTAATGCAGTAACTGCAAGCGTGAATTAAGCGCTGCGGTAGAACAACTAGGGCATATTACATGCGGATCAGAGGCAGAAAACGTAATCTACAAATCGTACAGATTTTCATCAGCGTAAAGCTAGCTGAACAATCACCGAATACATGTGAATAAACAGTAGAAATCACGATAATTAATCAATACAAATTAGTAAAGGATACTAGCTATACCTCTATAGTAACCTAAGAGAGGTAAAAACTAAGAGATTATCAAAGGATATGGTGTGTAGGAGACACGAGGCGCTCTCACATCCTGCTCACTGGGCGAAGAAGGAGAGAGTGAAGCACATGGCCAGAGGGTGGCGACACCTTTCCGCCAGGGAAACAAAGGGGAGCAACTTCGTGGTGAGTACCAATTAGTGATTTTATTTTGAAGGAGCTTCAAATAAGGAGATACAAGTGTTCCACTATGTTAGCAAGAAGAAGAAGACAAGCAAAGAGCATGAGTCAGGATAAGGAAAAATAATCCTATTACACAATATTTACAACACAAGCACTCAAACAAGACAGGGGTTGCGTTCAGGTGAGATGTTTTCCTGTTCTTGGGGAACACTGGCACTGAAATTTCCACTTCCACTCGGAAATGAGATGAGATAAGCAGTTAGTATAAGTCAGGATGAGGTAAAGTAATCCTAAATTCTAGTTAAGTTAGTTAACATTAACAAATGCCAAACTTGTGCGCATTATCACTGCTTCAACTATACTTTCTTTTGGAACAGTGAAGTGTTTTACTAACATGATCTAACAGCCTTGTGACAATGCTGTTTGAGGTGTTTGTTTTACTCGTACATCATACAAGAAACGTTCACTTACTTAGTGCTCTTCATAGCTCCTCCAGTCTTGGGACACAAGATGCAGGTGGGTTTGATACCGAGAGAACATGTCCGACACAGCCACCGGCCTTCTGGGATGTTCTGTATGCCGTAGCACGCCTACAACACCAAGTACAATTACGCAATGTCAAGTTTTTTTTATTAAACAAAATATTGTGATTGAAGATGTGGAATGAAATTGGGTTTGCTTCATTTGCTGTTACAAGCAATAATTGAGAGAGTGAGTGAAGTTATACACCACGTTTAGCAATTTTCAGCAATGTCACGGCGGGGGGACACCTCAAATGGGCTACACACATTGTACCCATGTGGGGAATCAAACCTGGGTCTTTGGCGTGACGAGCTTAATGCATTAACCTCTAGGCTACTCCACAGCCCCATACAAGCAATAAGAAACATAAATCAACAGCAATGGTTGTTTGACTTTAAGAAAATACAAAAATAAATTGAAAAAACCAGTTTGTCGCAACTGACCTGATGAACACAAATATCACAGCCATCACAGAAAACCATCTCATTGGTCTCCTCACTGTCAGGCTGAAACAATAAAACATTACTTTCACTTGATCGGTCAGTCAGTACCTGATTAAATGTTGTACCTAAACAGGTGACATCATCTTGGCCATTTCTTTGTATTGGTGCCTTTTAGGTTTAGTTTTACGTTGCAATATTCCAGCTATATTATGGCAGCGGTCTGTAAACAATTGAGTCTGGACAGACAATCCAGTGATCAACAGGCTGAGCATCGATCCACGCAACTGAGTGAGTTTGGTTTTACGCCGCAAAGAGAGAGAGAGAGAGAGAGAGGAAAGGAGGAGGAGAGAGGAAGAAGACACCAGAAATGAGCTTCACACAATGTACCCATGTGGGGAATTGAGGCCCGGGTCTTCGGCGTGAGGAGTTAACGCTTTAGCAACTAGGCCACCCCACCGCCCCTGTGCAATTGAAATATAAAGACGTGTGTCAACCAAGTCAGCAAGCCTGACCTCCCAATCCCGTTAGTTGCCTCTTACAACAAGCATGGGTTACTGAAGATCAATTCTAACCCGGACCTTCATGGGTACAGGTTTGCAAGACAGATTGAGTTCAGCATATAACAAAATCTCAGGTCTTTTTATTTGTTGCCAGTCACTGATCAGGTCCTGAGAAAGTCACAAAAATGAAACAAAGATGCTGCATGTTGCAGTGTAATTCCATTTATGAAGCTCAATATGTTGGATGGCTCACCGATCGACACACTTCACATACAATGTCCTCATCATACTCGATGCCCAGCCCTTCCTCCGTCTTCATGATCTCCTTGATCTTCTCATGGCACTGCAACAATAAGCATCATCTACGTCAACACACACCATCATCTACATCAACACACACCATCATCTACGTCAACACACATCATCATCTACGTCAACACACACCATCATCTACATCAACACACACCATCATTTAAGTCAACACACACCATCATCTATGTCAACACACACTATGATCTACGTCAACACACACTATGATCTATGTCAACACACAGCATCATACATCAACACACACCATCGCCATCATCTACATCAACGTGAGGCATCGTCTACATCAACATGCGGCATCATCTACGTCAACACACAGCATCATCTAAGTCAACATACAGAATCATCTATAGTAACATGATGAGTGCTGATCAAAATCTCAAGAGACAAAATGAGTAAAACAGTGAATTAGTTACAAAATGACACTCACTGGGTAGTGTGCTTTTTGGAGTAATTGTAGAACGTACCTGAGATTCAAAAGCTTCTATGATTCTTTCCATCGTCCACTCATGGACAGGCAGCAACCCTGGAACATTGTTCCCAGATTTAGCTATTTCTTAAAAAATAGTGGTTAATTGTTTCACTGTTCCCAGTGACTAGCCACCTGTGTACATTCTTTTGGACACCCAATCACACAAGTTCATCTGTCAGTTATTAAGAACCATAAAATGGACACATTCAATATATTTTTGAATTGTAAAGCAAGATAAAGGAAACAGTTAGATCCTGTTATCGTGTTTGTTGCTGTAGTTGTTAATAATCACAATAGTCAAGCTAAATGATGACTACAAATAACAGAGTCTGGACCAGACAATGATTTATGTTCTGAGATATATTTAATGACCTTAAGGCATGACATTCCATCAAGTCACAGAGACTGGTCTGGCCGTCCAATCCATCAAGTCACCCTTTACAACCAGCACAGTTGCTGTGAACTTATTCTAACTGAAACACCTAATTAGTAGAGACCAGTCGAGATCGATGAGGTTGAAAACCAACAGCCCAATATTATACCAAATATTCTTGGCATCTCACCCATTTCTTCTCTCTCCTCATTGGCCAGCTCAAGCCAGGATACATCCAAGTCATCAAGGTCGTACCGCACCACCTGCTCTGACAACTGCTGCATACCCGTCAACTCGTGAATTCCCTGGCGAAACGTTTCATCCTGTGTGGCATGGAGGTACTTCCCGAGGTCTGGAAGAGATCCATACTGTCTAAACCATGTTAAAGGTCAGTCGGATAGAGTTGTCATGGTTACGACAGGTCATCAAAACACTCTTCATCTGACACCAATGGATCAGACTCATCATCTTTATTCTTTTAATGCAATGATCAGTACAATTACTTGTGCTTGCTTGATACAGGTACTGGTACTGAAATGGTCCCATTGAATACATAAAAACAAGTGGAGGCTACCATTTGATTTTCAAAGGCCCTGGATTTTGGCTTGATATAAACAAACTTCTTTTATGCTTTGGAACTTGGTTACGTTTTGAAAACCAACACCGTTTTAGTTTTTGAAAATTCACATGAATTCCAGCAAAAACAGCTGGACTGGCAAAATCTCATAGATGGTTACAAAGCTGAAGTCCGGACATATTTTACAATTAACAATGGAGATATGTTCTGCACAAGGTGGTTACAAAAAGAGTGTGAGTTTAGTTTTACGCCGCTTTCAGCAATATTCCAGTAATATTATGGCGGGGGACACAAGAAATGGGCTTCCCACAACGTACTCATCTGGCAAAACGAACCCGGGTCTTCGGTGTGAAGAGTGGATGCCTTTACCACTAGGCTACCCCACCACCCCGGTGACAAAAAGAGAATGACTTAAGTAGGTGTCATGTGGTCAGACAAAGCAAGGAGCATGTTTGGCACAGACTTCTTGTGACTGCATAAAACAATACAGGGGTATATTGGGCAAGGTGTCATTAGAGACTGGAAACTCCTGCACACTCTTCCCGCACCAACACAGTAAGGGACACCAAGAGTCAGCTTCACTAAAATTACATTTGTGACATCATTCCATTGTCTGCTAGCGCCATTATTTTTCAGGAATGGAGTGATGTGTACCAGTTTATAGAGTGGACAAATTCGACATCATGCTCTGTGCATTACATTTGGCTAATTAAAATACCAATACATTGAATGTAATTTAAGTAGGGTAATATCCTCATAACTCTACATTCCTTACAAATAATGGGCCTTGGTCCGGACAATACCTTGTACATATTGTATCCATGTGGGGAACAGTATCTGAATGTTTGTGTGACAAGAGAACGCTAAACCACTGGTAAATATATCCAACTTACATTTTGAAGTCCCCTGTTATCGGTTTCTCATACAAGGTCCTGTGGGTAGAATATAAAGTATTAGCATAGATGAGGCAGAGTTCATATTGATTCAGTTAGATGTTTCCATGTATGTTTATGTGTGTAACACATGGAAGGATCATTCTTATTGTATGATCATTTTCAAGAAGTTGTCGCAAACATATTTGGGATTAACTTCTTTATTTGTAACATGATCTATATCCCAAAACCCTTTGACTCATGTTTATCACTTCTAAATGCCCTTCAAAGAATGTTTAAGTTGTTTTGGGGAAGTGCTTTTTTAGCAAATCCAAATTGTTTTTCAGTCTTTGTTTATGTTTCAAGACAACAAAAGAAACCCATCAAATATCTTGGGTATTTTTCCATATCAACACATGAGGCGAGGTGAATCAGGGCCTAATACTGTGTTCAAGAGTATTGCATTAACACAGCAATGTTCACACGTGTTTTTCTCAGGCTACTCATACTGACAGCCTGGACTTACAGTGCTTCTATTGGGAAAGCCCACCGAGATACCAGACACAGTTCAACATCAAAACATGGATTTCCCATCCTGGTTCATCATACCGACCGCGAGCCAAGCAGACCTGTTTTTGTACAATACCCTTATTAGGCAGGGTAACGACGAGTACCAAGTCTTAACATGTTCTGGAATTTCATGACCAGGCATCAAGCCACTGACATTTGTCTTCATCCACTTGACCATGGATGAGTACTCCCCTGCATCAGTTAGTGTTGCTTTCTGCAGCATTCAGCCACACTCCTATTAAGAAACTGCAGCCAAATCAAGCGTGGGTCAAGACTAATGGCAAGAGCAAGGATCCATGCCAGCAATATACTATGAAGAGTACTTACATCCAGGACTGATAATGGGGTGGTACTTGAACCTGAAATACCCCCAGAATCCTTGAGTGAGTGAGTTTAGTTTTACGTCACACTCAGCAATATTCCAGCCATATGGCGGCAGTCTGTAAATAATCAAGTCTGGACCAGACAATCCAGTGATCAACAGCATGATCATCTATCTACGCAAATGGGATAAGATGACATGTGTCAACCAAGTCAGCAAGCCTGACCACCCGATTCTGTCAGTCGCCTCTTACGACAAGCATGAGTTGCTGAAGACCAATTCTACCCCAGATCTTCACGGGTGCCAGGAGCCTTGAGGGGATCCACACATTTCAGTGTCATGTTTGTATCAATGTACATACTTGATGCTGATATCTGGTATTTCCCCAGGGTTGACTGGCACTTGCACCCCCTTCTCCCACTCCTGTCTCCAGGGGTCCGAGATGAAGATGTAGTCCTGCTGCAACGGCTCTGAGTCCGCCAACTTCATTGCACTTATCAGGTCTTTCCGGAAAAGCTATCGCAAAACAAAAATCCTTATATCAATATATAGGTTAAAAATGATTAACAAATGAGTATTAACGAAACAGACAAAGCAACTAGAGGTGTTCACAAGCAATAATAAAACAGAAGCCTCCCTTCACTGCTGTTTCTTTTAAAATTGGAAAAAAATATCAAATACTAAGTACTTCAATTCCAACAAATTGCTTGAACTTAATCAGGAAACTACTCAAGGTGTAACAATTTCCCTTGCCAAATCATATCAATCTTGACCAAAACCTCTGAAAAGGCCCAGACTTTAGGTGTAAAATCACTATATGCAGAGTACGGACATGTGCTGTTTACTATCAATGACTTGAGAACTAAATACTGTTAGAAAATATTATACTAATTTCCTGCCACAATATTGCAATACACATATATTCCAGCGAAAGATTATCTCCTTTTTTGAACCCGTACCTCAGCTGGCTTGTTGTGTGGTGTGAACGTGGGACTACGCAGGCCATTATGACCCAGCTTGCTGGTTGGGTGATTGGTTGCTGCTAAATGAAAAACACTCATGTATCCCATTAATTTTATTCAGTGAAACACATGTTGTATTTAAAATTTAAACCAAGATTACTGCATCACGTAATCATGATTTAGGCAGAATTATTACATACAATTCTTAAAAGTGAAATCCAATATATTTGCAACAGAATACTACTAGAAATGAAATCAGGTTTCCTACGGAGTGTTCCACTTACGTCTTTTGGGAGATCCTGAGTCATCTTCATCATCAGTACTAAGTCGTCTCCTCTTGGACTTGTGGGACGAACAAGCACCAGAGTCTGGCAAACAATAGTATTCCAGTCAAAGTTTACTGGAAGTGTTGGGAAAGACTAAACAACCCTAATTTGATATCAGTGTCTCATCTTCCCATAATAAAAAATAAGTAAAGAGCTGTCCACACAAAACAAAATGACTGTTGGTGAGTATTTTTAATATTTATCTAGCTATATGGGCTACACAGTGATAAAATCAGTTCATTGCTACATTGCTGACTACCAGTTTGACTAGATTGTAGTAAAATACCTGGACTTGTTTCCCTGGGAATGTCCTTGCTCTTCTTGGTTTTGGTGGCTGACATCATGGTTACTGTGATGTCTGGAGCTTGGTTGGCTGTAGTCTGATGGTGAAGGTGTAAAAGCCTGGGCTATCTCTGGAACAGAAATAACACAACTATCTTCAGGAATGTTGAAAACACTAAGGTGAGCAGTACAAGAATACAGAAAACACACCAAAAACATCCACCCAAAAACACTCATAACACCATTAATATAAAACCATAACACAATAATTCTGCCTTTCTATGTCAACCGTAAGGCAAATGATAATATTACAGTTTTCAAATCTAAAGGTGAAGTCAAAGTCTCTATGATAATATTAATAAAGGTTAATAAATAATGCAACACAATAAATATCAATCCGTATTTTTTTATAAAGCTACAAGCCTTAAACAATGTAATAAATATTTTATATTTCTTAAAATACATATTTTCGATAGTATGTTTATGAGAGAAAAAATACTGGACGTGTGAAGTACATTTGGTTGTAAATCAGACAACTTATGTCTTTTATTCATTCCAAACCATGAATAAACACATGATCATGTTGATCAATACAAAATTTGGAATGTATATGCCATTGGCACACCATATTGTCTTATCGTAGAATGAGACTTGAAGCAAAGAAACAATATTTTATTAAGTGATGAAGGTGTTTGGATAAACATTCTATCATTACACAATCAATTTAGACATCATCAAATGAATTCCTTTGCATTGTGGCCAAAAATGATTATGGTCAATGCTTTGTCTGAAGTCAAATACAAAATCAAGCATAACTGAACACACTAACACACAATTCAACTGTCATAATCAAAGTATTATTTTTCAGTTTCAAACATGATTATTGACGACATATTCTTGTAATTATTGTGGTTCCAAAAATTAAGTGTAACTGGCTCATATAAAGGGCGGTAACTCTTAAAAGGGAACTTTTTATCAGGTTATCGGGAAGACTTACATGAACATATGCAAAATAATAAATACAACGAAAAATAATCATGATAGAGTCTATTTGAATAATCAGAATCAAAATAAATGCACAGACAGTAACAAAAATGACAACTTGTATGGTGAATGTGTTTTTTGTTTGACAATCAATTAAATATCCTGCATAATTGAACATATGTATTCAATTCGACATAGAAGACTAATATTACATTATGAACATCTAACAAGTAACATAAAGTATCCCACAAAGGTATACCTGACAGTCCTGTGTCACCTTTTGTAATATTTTCCCAAACATGACCATAAACAAAGTACATATAAATGCATCTATTCTGTGTCATTAATGTACCACCGAATAATAATTTGCATTTGAAAATAATTTTGATCAGCATACAGAGTGTAACCGTCTAAGTCATGTAATACTTCCATCCAAACATTCAGCTTACCAGTCATAACACATGACGTGTGATTTCTGTTTATTCAGATTTTACTTATTACATTTACCGAAATTCAGATCTAAAGAAAACGACAAACGCACTAATCAAATGAAAATGTCATTGCAACATCAGTGAAATGACAACTCACCATTTCAATTACTATTCAAGTCAGTTATGACATAGTAGCATAGCACGATTATTGTTTTTTATCGTATCATATGTCACTAAGTGACTTGCATGGTCAGCATTTTAATGCATGAAATCGAGACAGCATCAACCGTTTACCAGTTAAACATGTGCTAATACCAGTAACAAGTGCTAATCGTCAACACGAAATAGATTTTCTGTACGGAGATAACAGCGAAACATTTGTTTTTATTTACATCGACATCGTGCTCGTGTACCGCCACCTGCTCCAGCGACCTAATTACGTATTCATGATAACATTAAACCATCACTACTGATTCTCACCTCCTTGACCATAGGTTATAATTAATCTACAAACTTTCTTCTTTCAACATAATTACGTTTCGATCGTTCAATCATTTCCAAAATTTGGTATCAGGGGAAATTTTCGATAGCACTCATTTGGCGCCATCATGGCGAAAATTTTCATGGAAAAGTAGGTCACATGGCTGTCTCGCGAGAGTATTCGAGACTTTCACGGAAAGCTAGCGGACAATATATTTTTGACACAGTTTAGTTCCGTATCACATGTTGTGTTTATGAGTGGATTTGGGGCCAGTGTAATTTTGGAATGTGTACCCTAATTGAGCAGTATGTAGTTATTTCATATATATTGATTGTTAGGGAATGGATTGCGACAGCCACAGGATTATTTGTGTTACGCTCAGCGAAAGTATGGGGGAAATGTTATGTTTTGAACTTCCCTGTTAGTACAGACTAGTAAAAATAACAATGTTTCATAATAATATGAATTCGTTCTCGGGAGTATGATTTCCCGTTTGGATTTTTAAAGGAGATAAAAGCTTGATAATAAGTGTGATGCATATTCGTAACTGTAACTATATTCCCAAATTTGTATTCTCAGAATGATTACTCTGAATTTGTCACAAATAAAACCCACCTGGTGCCCGTCAACTAACATTGACTTGTCAGTCCTATATCAGTCGGTGGTACCCGTGCCTTTTCTTAGCTGATTTCTGCAAGCTAAACACGGAAAACGATCATTGCCAGGATCAAGATGTCATAGTATTTCCCGTTGAGCAAGTGAATCGTTTACCTGCTCTTACATGAGTTCGTAATGCTGAAACCCGGGGTCAGTTCCCCTCAGTGTGTAGAGGTCTGGAGTTATTAAGCAAGCAAATATTAACTCAAGTCGGTTAATGATAAAATCGGATACCTAGCTGAAGTTAACCCGAATAATCGTTTATCGTTTCATGTTACTTCCATTACGAACCATATTTTATAAACCAACGATATCAACCCGCTCCTAGCATGCCTATACTGACGCACATTATTTCCTACTGAAAGCTTTCCAGGGAGATTGAGTAAAACAAGGTTTCCACCACTCTCTACAGCTTGTTACCAACATATTTACATACGTCCGACAAACACGTTATCCCGTCATGGGTAAGGTCAATTCATGTAAACTTCCATCACTGGTTTGTCTGACCCAAAATAAAAATAACCTCTCTAAAAGAATCCCAGCAGAAAACCACCTGGACCTGATGGTCGTGGGTTCGAATCCCAAACGTTAATATGAACAGTGGATATATCATGGGCGGATCCAGGAATTTTGAAAGGAGGGGGTTCATGGGGTTCGAACCCCTGAACCCCTCATTGGCTCCGCCAACGCAAAAAAATAGCTTCAATGTGATCTTACGTCAGGGGGTGGGGGACCCCCTCTGGATCCGCCACTGTATATATATATCTATATATATATATATCTATATATAGTGTTAAACACTTTACACCGTAGGGGCAGTGCGGTAGCTTACTGGTTAAAACGTTCGCTCGTCACGCTGAAGACCCGGGTTCGATTCCCCACATGGGTACAATGTGTGAAGCCCATTTCTAACCTGAAAGGTGTTGACAAGTCTTGGTGAGGTAAAGAAGATCATAAGAATTGATAAATGCTTGAACACCTCCCCAATATGTAAGGGATGAAGCTACCCTAAGTCAACCCAGTGAGTTAGTGCTGTATACGGGGCGGTTGGGTAGCCAAGTGGTTAAAGCGTTTGCTCGTCACGCCGAAGACTCCCGGTTCGATTCCTGACGTAGGTATCAAGTTTGAAGCACATATCTGGTGCCCCCAGCCGCGACATTGCTGGAATATTGATAAAAGCGGTGTAAAGTCCTATTCACTCGCCAGTACGTGCTGCATACACTACACCTATCAGAGGGCTACACAAGGTCCGTGGTCATGACTACCAGTTGTCCACTTCCATTTTTGTGGAAGCCGCGGTGGCTGAGTGGGTTAGGCGGCTGACTTTGTGTGCTGGCGAGTAGTTGCCTGAGGCTGTGGGTTCGAATCTCGGATGGGTCTCAACCCAACAAAAGTACTAGAATCTGTACTTTACTGAGAAAGTGTAATTCCAAATATAACGTGTTACTCGGGTCAGTATTTCAGCTATGTAATGACGTACCCTATACACATGGTACCACACACACCCAAGTGTTCTGGTCTCAAACGATATGGGGCTTTCAAACATTTGACAATGATCAGAGCGAATCTGAGATTCGGATACAGTCACAGCATCATGTGATTCATACACGAGACGCAACGCTGTGAACTGCCACGCTTTAAAGCACAGAGCCACTCGTTCCACAGTGTGAGTGATCGTAACGATGCACTCAGCAACATAACAGCTTTAATGTCTGTTAACATATCCATATATGATATCGTCGGCTGAAAACCAGAGTGTTCTATGTCCACTTTGGGGAAAAAATGAGTTAGAAAGCCCAGGGTATGTTTTACTGCATATTCTATGCAAAATTTCACCGTGATATATAGCCTAGAAAATGGCTTTACATTGTTTTAGCTCCATAAAATAACACACATTGTTAGTTCCGGAGTATTCTAAGTGGTTATTGGACCAAATCCAGTTTAATCACGTGACATGGAGATGGAACAATCTGGAAGTTATTATCATCACTGTAGCCATACAGTTGAAACATTGCATTTATCTTTTTATTGATTTAATGTAATTTGTAAGCTATGAAACTAAAACAAGTTAAAACAACAAAAATACAACCTGGTACGAGAAAAATATTCGTATAATATTGATTCAGATGCATTTCTGATACATAAAGCACTCGGATTCTGAACAAAATTACAAATCTATTTGGCCGATTTCTATCTCCAATTGTTTTTCGTTGATTTCTTATTTATTTCAAGTTTTAACATACGTTTGGTTATTTTCCAAGTCTTTTTGATACAACACATGCATGTGCACAATTCCAAAGAATTTTATCGAACAGTTTAGAAAATATTGTTCTAAACTTCAAGATCGATTTTCTGGAAAATTGGTTTTTAGGACCATGAACACCCTGTGATTCAGGCGTCGTATATCTAAATTTGTTGTTCAGCGTAGTACTCCGCCTACAGCTATATGTATACATGTATATGTATATCGGTATCGGTCTACACAAATAGGATACGATGAGCCACTCGTTCCCAAGTGTGAGTGACCATAACGACACACTCAGCAACATTACAGCTATACGGTCCGTAAATATTTCTCTGAATTTGTTGTTCAGCGTAGCACTCCGCCTACAACTATGTGAATATATGACGGCGCTCGGTATCGGTCTTCACAAATGGGATACGATGATATATATCAACCAAGTCAGTGAGCATTCCCATACGACCCCGTTGTCTCCTTTCACGACAATCATGGACTGCTAAAGACAAGTTCTGACCTGAAGGAAAACCAAGTTTTATGGATAGTCAACGTCTTTATTGCATGCGACGTTTCGGTGACCGTGTAGATACTAACACCGTTATCAAGCAAGGAACTTGGTTTTCCTTCATCTTTACGGCTTCTAAAAAAAATGCCTCTAAAAATGTTCTGACCCCGAAAAGGGCGGTGGGGTAGCCTAGTGGTTCAAGCGTTCGCTAGTCATGCCGTAGACATGAGTTCGATTCCCCACATGGGTATTATGTGTGAAGCCCATTTCTGGTGTCCCCCCCGCCGGGATATTGCTAAAATTGGGGTAAAACTAAACTCGCTTACTCACTGGAAAACTTATGATGATCAACATCCAGGGTGGTACTTTGTCAGCCATCTCACGTTCAACTGCAATAAAGAACTTCGTGTGGTTCCCGAGAAAACACCGAAAGGGGTAGCAAGATTTCTAACCAAAATTAACAACTATAAGCATTATTGTAGAAAATATAAACAGCAAGGACAAAACCACGAATCTTACTTGAGCTTGACTTCGAGAGTTTTCTTATGCTCTTCAGCGCCATCTCTACGCAGAAAAGGATGTACTATCGACGGCATGTTTTGTTGGGTTTTTTTGTTACCGAAACTGAAGTTTATCCTGCTGGTAAAAGAACCGAGACTGAAATTTATCCTGGTTGTAAAAGAACCGAGACTGAAATTTATCCTGGTGGTAAAGAAAGGAATTCCACAGTTATATTCGTCATGCTTTCCACCACTGATTACACGTGATATTTACAAAGCACCACTATATTGCCAACTGAGAATACACGAGGTTTTGAATGAAATCACTGGGTATGTCATGTACTAACAAGTTTGGTTACTTTCTTGTGGCACTTGGTCATATGTATAGCACACCTGTAAAAGTACTTCGAGGTGAATAGTAGGTGAATACGTGACATGTTGCCAGTCTGAGGCTTCCTTGTTTCTAGTGCTTGTCCAACAGAAGCTCATGTTACATGTGTGATGTGTTTAACCCAGCATGATGATGACATGGCAATGTAACCGATACCTTCCAGCGCCTCAAAGACAGCTTGGGTTGTATAATCTCCAGGAAGCCAATAACGAATATTGAGTGTACAGAAATTCATTGAAAGGGAGTTTGATGAAGGGCATGAAGCATGATTTAGTGTGCGGACTTGGCGTATTTTACAAACGAACAAAACTATTTCTTCATTTTTAATGCAGTTTTTTTTGCCAAGGATTATTAGTGAGTGACTTTAGTTTTATGCCCCAGCAATCAGCAATCTTGCAGTTATCTACGCCGGGAAGGTTAGAGTTTTAATGTGTACAGTTTTCCCAGAAATTATTGAGAAAATCTTTGTTTCCTAATACTGATAATACGATTTTAAATAGGTGTTACATTAAGTGGTAAGGTGTACTCAATATGGGAGGCAACTCTTGTAGGCTTAAGAATGAACCGTTTACTATTTCAAGAGTTATCTCCCCTGGTGTAGCAGACGACTTCCTTTGTTGACATGGCAGATTTGACAGCAGAAAAGAAAGCTGGCTCTAGATGATTTTGAAAGGGGTGTAACTAATGGAAAAGAGTTAACTGGTAGACATGGCATTCCTATGTTTAAAGGATACAGAACTTTCCAGCTTGGTGGAGATCTGGAGTTGAACAGAAAATTCAGTTACGTGTTGGATGTGAGCACAAGGCAGGGGCAGTGAGGCCAGGAAGTTCATAGTTATATGCTGGACTAAGGAAGTTCAGTACTACGGATCGCCGGCGACTTGGTCAGATTGTGAGTAGGGGAAAATAGAAAAGCGTTGAGAATACCAGGAATGAGATGATTAATGGAGGAAGTCCTCAGGTGTATAATGAAACCCTTTTACAAGAATTAGAAAGACGTAATTGGGTGAAAAAGCTTGGAATTCATTGATGAAAGATGAAAAAAATGACGTTTAAACTGGTGTTCGGCTCACGAAAATCAAGATTGGGATAATGTTTGCTTTTCTGATGGAAGTTCTTTCTGGCTTTTTACCCCGAACCGTGTGAAAAGTTGGACAAAAGATACCGTGAAACCTATCTACCAACGCCCTAAACATAGCCCGATACTTCACATGTGGGGTGGGATATCATCACATGGAGTGACGCCGTTGGAAATTTGACAAAGGAAGGATATGTCACCTCCTTCCAACGGCCCGAACACTGTATGAAGACAATGTCATTTTCCAACATGATAACGACCCAAACACACTGCGGGCTTCACAAAACATGCAGTGGTTGTGGGACAAAAAAAGTTTTAGACAGGCCCAGCTACAGCCCAGATCTTAACATTATAGAATGTGTGGGGACTGATGAAGGACAGAATAAACAAAACAGGACTTAGAAATATTGAGGATATGAAGAATGAAGTAGCCAAGTATTGGGATACGCTGTCACACGATTTCCAACAAACTTTGAATGGTTGTGTACCTAGGCCCATTCAGTCGTGTATTGCAGGGCAAGGAGGTCTCACAAAGAAGAAAAAAAGACACTCAGACTGTAAGAGAATCATATCTCAACATATTCATTGAAGTAATTCAATAAGTAAACTTCTATAGTGTATATACATTTATAGGATATTTGCTGAAACAACTTTATCAAAAAATTCTGGTAATACTATATCAAGATCAGAACTCATATTCTGGTTAATCAAGCGAGAGTGAGCTTAGGTCACTATAGCAACAGTTTGCCACATGAACAGCTTGATTTACCTCTGATATTTAACAATCACACAAATATATATTAATACGAACCATTAATCAATTGAAATAAATTTATTTTCTGCCATGTATGAATATCAAGACAAACATTTCATGTAGATATACAAAAAACACCCATTATGTTTTCTAAGGTTTGAACTGCCCAATTATATTTTCCAGGGTTTACACAACCCCATTACTTTTTCCAAGGTTTTCCTCACAATCAAATAACAATACCCAGTTTCAAGACAATTATAATCTACACACAATAGTCATACACAGAAGCAACAACAAAAAAGCTGTAAATGCAGTGAAACATGAACAAAATCCTACAATATTTCCATGGATGAAGTACCTGTATTTTACTTTACAGTAAACATAAATATCAGAGGTGTCAATTTTCAGTTGAAAACTTGAATCAAAATCGAGTTGCCAGTTTTGCAAAACAAACTCATGGACAAAAACAGTACTATTGTATGAATCTACACTGTTGAGGCTGAATTTTACATGTTACAATCGACTTCTCAATGCTTTAGTTTCTAACAAGCGGGGTCACTGTTTAACCTTTGATTAAAACAAGGCTGATATTGGTACAGTTTGATTACAGTGTCATGTATTTGAACCACACAATTTCAAAGTATCTTACAATGCATTGAAATGACATGTCACATACAGTGAAGGTGAGGTGAAATGGGGTTTAACGTCGTACATATGATGACATGCATGACGTGTGTATGTGTGGCTGTTTGTAGTAGCCCAGACTTCTGCTGGTTTTTTAGTGCTAGCTCACTGAGATACCATGCTGCAGTTCAGCATGAATACTCAACTGGGGAACATTACACTGACTCTGAGCCGAGCAGCCCTTGTTGTACCCAGTAATGCAAAGCTCCAGGCAGGGATCAACAAGTACCATATTTTCATGTCTTAAAAAAAACCCAACCTCCCGCTCTCCGGGCGAACGCCCTAACCACTACACCATGGAGGCGGTTAACCCAGTGAAAGTATAGCCTGTGGTAAGAGTGTGTCACAGTCTGGATAGGTGTTCAGGCTCTGAAGCCCTCGTTGATTCTGCGATCTGGTTTCATTGCATCCAGCACCTGAGTGATGTCTCCGTTCTTGGCCTCAAGCAGTCGTGTGTCAGCCAGCCGCCATCATTTGTGAAACCCATCTGGGACATTTGATGGAGAGCCTCAGAAATCTTGGGGTCTGCAGGAAAAATTTTAACTCAAAAACATTTATTCACAGTACCGAGCATAACAATTTGTGAACTTGTTTCATGAACTATTTTGTGTAAGGTTTTAATGGACTGGATTCTGACCAGAATACACTGCAGTAACATCCTCAGAATATAACTAAATGGTTCACGAAGTATTAACTGCAGTCAGTGAAGCAGTATCAGGAAAAAACACACCTGTGTTTACTTATCTGCTGTATCTAATTAACCTGTGTTCAGAACTGGTCATGAGTGGGGAATACTCAGGTCTGTACCACACCTCTCAATGTAACATACCCCAGCCCATCACCCCCTGAATACCCTCCCTGTAATACATAACCAGTCCTTATAATTTTTGATAACTTTATTCTTTTACAACACCTTCAACCCCCCACCTTCCCACAGTTGTGATACATTTTGGTGACTCTCCATCCATTGCCCCTCCCCATATACGAAATGACCAATACTTAATGAGAACACAGTAAGCACAAATAAAGAAAAACTGTAGTACATGTGACATGGCTTCCAATGTGGCCAAACTACAAAGTGCTATAAGTGCTAACCTGGGTGTGGAGGGCTTGGTGGAGATCTGGAGTTTAACAGAACGGTCCACTCTCCTTCAGAACTACCATCGTTGATTGACAGACCCTTTGTTATGTCCGTGACTAGAGCTTTGGAAGATCTGGACACATCCTGAGCCATTGAGTCTTGTGCCTCCTGCTTTATGGATTTGATTTCTGCTTCCTCTCTCATCTCGTCACCTTCTTTCCCAACCTCCTTGTCCTGGTTATTGCCACTCGCGACGATGGCAATGGCGGATTTGGTAACCATGATCTCTGGGTCCTCCACATCCTCCTCCAAAACCTCTACATCCATGTCGGCCAGCTCCATGACATTGCCCACCACGACGGCGACCTTGATGCTCAACTTCGGAGTTCACATCAATACCTAAGACAGAAAAGACAATTGTAGACAGTTGCAACATTAATCTCTATCCTCTAATCCATATTAAACTGAAGGTATCAAATTTATAAATGATTCTTTCAGAATTCCTATCAAATGGGTTTTTTATCAAAACATTTCTGGTGTGGAATAAATATCTTTGAGAAGGCCAATCTGTTATATTAACAAAAAGAGGCAATTAGATGTGAACTTCCTATGTTAATGTCTGGGTTCTCATTCACAGAACCAACACAAAGCACATATCAGTTATGTTTAATGCCAATCTTTTCACTGGATTTACAACAGACAAGTCACAGGAAAGGGCAGATATAAACTTCCACGAAATAAATGTGTTTGCCCTTTTTGTATTATACCAGTTGTCGAGGATGAATTTCACTTTTGCCTCGTGTGCCAATTTTACCTTGATCTGCGATCCAATCTCATACCTCAATATTATCACATGTTCCCAACTCGCGAGAAAATGGTCAGTCTGTTGGTGTATCTTCCACTCTGTCGGGGACGGTCAGTCTGACCAGGACAGAGAGTCAGCGATGACGTTCTTTACTCCCAGTATGTGACTTGCTGTTGTTGAGACCGCCAGGGAGTCTATGATTGCCCACTCTAGAAGGTGCGAAGATCCTGTTAAACCCAAGTGAATGATGTACCATATCACCGAGTTGATCATATGAGAAGGCAGGTCAAATGCAGATCCTTTGCCCAATGTGCAATGGCTAGGATGACTGCCTTGAACACCAGTTCGTTGATGTAGAGGGGACTGTTTGTCGGATGACCACAGACTTGCCATTTGTTGATCGTGAAGATGAGCTCCCCATCCTTGAAGTGATGCATCTACAAATAGGTGATGCGGTGTCAAGTGAATTCCTTCGCAGACATTTGATTCGTCGAGCTACCAACACAGGTGGTGATGGAGCGACGAAGGTAGGATTGGCGATCCATAGGAACAGCCATAGAATCCTCTGGATCGGCTGTAGTTGTAGTTGATCTCTGGTCGAGGGCTTGGGCTGACATTAGTAAGCCCAGCAACTCCTGCCACTGTCGCAGTGTTTTCTTCTGTGTCAGTGCTAGAGCTACGATGTGTTGATTCAACGAGCCACCACTGAATGTTCTGATGGAGCGACGAAAGTAGAAGGATCGCATGGGGATTGTCGAGCCTCAGGAACAGACGCAGAACAGAACTCTTCCGTAAATGTTGATTCGTTGAACCACCACTGAATGTACTGATGGAGCGACGAAAGTAGAAGGATCGCATGGGGATTGTCGAGCCTCAGGAACAGACGCAGAACAGAACTCTTCCGTAAATGTTGATTCGTTGAACCACCACTGAATGTACTGATCGCATGGGGATTGTCGAGCCTCAGGAACAGACGCAGAACAGAACTCTTCCGTAAATGTTGATTCGTTGAACCACCACTGAATGTACTGATGGATTGACAAAGGTAGTAGGATCTGCTCATGGGGAGCAATTATTGCGTTTAAGCGCATTCGATGTCTCGCTAACACTGACGCGCTTCACTTCTCTGTTCGTTATTTCGCAAAATGCAGTAGCCCCCTGTTGATGTTATAGATCTGGTGCACAGGCATTGCATGCTGTCGAATATGTAGTCAAAACTTCGCACTCATGAATGCTCTTCATGTGATAGTACAGTGGAACTGAATAGTAGCCAGCGTGGTCATCTAACAAGTTCAGAAGAACTACTGTAGTACCTCCTGTCAACACCCTGTATGACGTCACCAGTGCATTATCAGGTTGACCTTGATATTTGGTGCAATAGATGGTAGACTGAGTGCGCGCATATGTAGTTGGAATCAGTTCTGACTTCTTGATGTTGAGAATCTACTCTAGCTGGTGGTGAATTGTAGTTGTTGTAGGAGGATGTGTCGATCACTTTGAACTCGTATACAATTGTCGACGTAAGCCTTGAACACGATGCCTCGATGATGCAGAGACTGCATAATGTGTTTCGTGATGTGGGTTAATAGCCACAGGCTGTAGAAATGCCAAAAAGGAGGACCCCGGGCATAGCTTGTCGGATCCAGGTCCACGAGCTGCGTCTGGGGCTCTGTGCACCTCTGCCGTGGGATGTGGATCTGAGTTGTTTTCTTGTTCTAGGTTGAAAAAAGTTTCTGCTTGGAAAGGAATCTCGAAAGTCGAGATCCGTCGGAACATACTGTGTCGGCGGCTGCATCGAACAGGCTGTAGTACTTGCATCTTCTGTACTTTAAGAAGTTCGACCGATACTTGGAACTGAGTATTTCACTTCACCTTGGTAAAAAAATCCTGGATGATCCCATTGGCTAGGTAAGGACTCGACCATGGTTACCAAAGCAGGTCTACTCTGCAGTGTTCGTCCCATGAGGTGTGATTTAGTGTGTCAGGCTTTCCAGATCGCCGTATGTAAATGTACCAGATCCCAATCTTTCACTGTCAAGGAAGTAGGCTGATGTCCACTAGGCAAATCATTAGCATTCGCTGAATGTGAGCCAGAAGTGTAGATAGCAGATCGTCTGGGGTCTTGCTTAGAGACAATTGTTGATTGTCTGCTATCCATGCTAGCATGTGTGTCGTATCTACAAGTTCGATGCTATCCCCAAGTCCCACTGGCAGGGAACTTGGTTACAGTGAGAGTGGAGTCTTTGTGATTTTTGCGACAGAAACAGTCTAAGTAAACTTAGCTCAGTATTGAGTCACTGCTATACTGAGTCAAACAAAACGTCGGTCGCGTCAGCTAACCTTTGAGCGACCCATGACCGTCCAATCAAACACGAAATGGCTGAACGGATTTAACCAATTAGACAACAACTGCTTGTTAGGGTTTGGCGGGACTTACAAAACGTTGTTTTTTTTATTTTCCCTTCTCTGGTCGCTGACACTGAACTATCAACAAACGAAAATCCGCATAAAACACAGATATTTGACCTGCAGTATCTACGCATATGGGTTTCTAATGACATGGTTACTATTTGCTTATATTTTCGCAAGATGACATCCTTGAATATTGACAAAAACGCTATTTTCAGAGACTGTTTACTCATTGCGTGTATCACTCGGAAGCAATCGTGCGAAAAATAGCATTCAGAATCGTTCGAGTTTTTTAGGTAAAGGTTCAAACGGTATGTGCGAATGTTAACTTTCGCAATTTGGTAAGCTGTGTTCTGATTGGTCAGTCCAAAAGGTTAGCTGACACGATCTTCTACTAGGTTTTATTAGACTCAGTATAGCAGTGTAATGAATAATACTGAGCCTAAGTTTACTTAGACTGGCGACGGAAACTTTATGATTTGTGACAGTCTTTGTAATTTGTCACACAGTCTTTGCAATAATATGTGTTATAAAAAGATAAAATGGTAATTATAGCTATATTTTGAGGTATTAAAGACTGTAATTTTCCTCATCAACACATGATATCATCTTGCAACTTAAAAATTTACTTTAATAAATATAGCAATAGCATAGATACCATTTTTATCATAATTTGCAATGAAAGTCATTTTGATAATAAATATGAGTAAAACATCATGATAACAACCCATGAAGGACAAAATATTCATAACGAATTATGTCAAGTTTTTCACATGAAATTGTGTCATATATATCAATATTTTAACATCAATTTCACTAAAATAATATTTTAGAAATTTAATGAATTTTAGAGTCTTTACCATTGGTAACGCAGAATTTGCAATTGCAATATGATGGTAACGGAAAATTCCTATATTTTCAGAAGAAGACAATTTAGTCAATGTTCATGATGATTTTGATGATGATTGTAACCTTCACATTGTTGTGAATAATGATGACTATCTGTCAATCATGAATAGAAGTGTTGTCACAATATGTGAATAAACACTATAGGCTTGAAGAATAGACTGTAGTTTTACATTCCTGTTCAAGTGGCGATTCATGGATATTTTAATCCAATAATTGGATTCATTAGATTGGTTTTTACTGAACTATATATTTCTGGAATATTGATGTAAATCTAAGGATAGAGAAAACTATGTGAAAAAGGAAGGTATTTACAGCAATATTTATGCCAGGAGATTTTCAACCAAAGTGAACTGATTCTGCACAATTCTATTATAAGTAATTCACGCAAAATTCATATGCTTCATGATGGAATTAAAAGCATGGGACAAATATCACCATATCAACATTGTCCTGACATGGAACAGTTGAGAGACGAAAAATTTAAATTGTATATTCAGCTTAAATCACCTTGAATTATAGCTTCAAACATTCAGATCTTTAGACACCACAGATACATTATTAGAAACGTCCAATTCTGATTCATGAACAAAATTTTACAAATTGTGTCAAGTCAATTCTATTTTTGTGATTATGAATTATCTGTGACCATGAATGAATTTTCCATTACTTCAAGTTAATAATTAAAAAAATTCTGTCACAATAGACCAAATCATTGTAGATTATGTGTCTTCTTTTCGCTGATGAAACAGCACATGCTTCTTTATAGTGGGAGATAAATCCAATCAGAATGCTGACTTTTTATGCTACAATAATTTGTTCAATCATTTTTTAAAAATACATCAATTCATCATTAAAAAGGTATGTAAATCTTAAAAATGTATGACTTTACATGATTATCAAGGGTTTTCAGAGTAATATAACTATTTTCCTTCCTGAAGGAACACAGCATTGAGGTAAACATGCAATTAATTCCCTTATAAAGTTGATTTTGGACGTCTATAGGACATTTATTACCTTACCCTGGCCTTGCAGCTGCTAAAATCACAAAGGCTCTGTCACAAATCATGAAGTTTCTGTCGCAAAATCACAAAGACTCCACTCTCACTGTAACCAAGTTCCTTACCAGTGAAGTCCTGTTAGGTTGAAGTTATGTATCTCGGGAATGATCCCACTAGACAGGTAGGTTCAGCTGCATCGCTCTAGTAGCCTGCGACAAATAGGTAGAGATGAGCGGGATCACCGAAGCAGACAAGTTTTGACAAACTTGACATCAAGTGCAAAGGCTGAGATGCAGTGGCCAAGACAAAGGGGTTCTTTGAACGTGGATCGTGAACGTTTGGTTCGTTGAAGGTAAGTTGTAATTGCTGGTCAGTGGTGCAGCCGAGGACTGGGACGTAATCGTCAAGGATGTAGAAGGTCTTCTTGCAAACTTTTCTTTTCCTTGACGTTGAATCTTCTTTCCCCATGATGTTAAAGGTTATTAAGTCAGTTTATTTGCCACAGTTTACAACACGTCAGCACCCTAGTGTGACAAGAAAGTGAATGACTAAACAAAGGAGTCACATGACCCATCGGAGCACAGGCTGCATGCTTCTCAGGGGCTAACAGGCTGTCCAGGAACGGGAGCAGTTGGGGTGTGTTTGGGTGAAGGGTTCAAGAGAGGCCAAAAACTTTGTTTACAGTTTGTTTCCACTCAGCTGTCAATAAGAAGAGAGAGAGTACAATACGTGAGATAGGATCAGTTTAAAAATATGCACTCCTCCTTGTTCCAAAAGCTGTATTGACACACCAGGATTAATTCACAATGCATCAACAAACTGCGAAAAAGTCACACCATCATGTAACACATTATAATGATACTGACTGACATACCGAAAGGGTCCATCATGGCTGCCACATTCTCTCCCACATTGTGGAGATATTCCTCCTCGGGTCCAGCATCCTGTTCCCCGTCCTGGTTAGGGTCAATGTCCGCCCCAGGGGGAACATCCCCCTCCGTTTCCATGCCAGATCCACCATGACGGTTGTGCCAGTGGATCTTTTTAGCCTCACACTGACTGCAGAGATCATAGTCTGGGCACACACACTTGTAGTGGATGCCACGGACAGCCCTCTTACATGCATCACGCACAACATTGGGGTGGAACATTCCATTGCAGCCGCTGCTGCTGGCAAATGACGTTGCAGCATGCTCTGAAATGTCCAATCAGCAAACAGTGTGAAACAGCCCTTGTTCCAAATGTAAAACTGTTTGCATAGTTTGTTTACTAAATTTATATTTTTACAAGAATGACATAAACTATTACTGGTCTGTCTATATTTTTACATTAAGGTCTGTCCATGTTAAATATAATATTTGTTTAGGTTCAAGCTAAGAACACTTTCAACAGCTTGTATGGGGACTTGGAGAAACAGCTGGTTATTTTGAATATCCTTCTCTATAAAGTACTGTTTTCAAAGTTGTGACATATTATGCAGCTGGAGATACCTAATAATCACAAAGTTATGGATTTCTCATGGTGTCAATGAACACACATATTTCCTTACCAAGTAGCTCACTGTATAACTGTATGACTTGTAGATCATTAGCTTGTAATACAGATCTAGGGTTTTTGAGCTGTGATTTTCATTTTTACACAACATGATGTACAAACAGAAAATTTGAAGAGTTATGTAGGGTTTAATAATGACTTCCATCTTCTAAATTTAATGCTGCCAGATTCTGTTAGGAACACAATGTTTCAGAGTACTTTCTTACTCCTCCCCATTTATAAGTATCACTCCTAAATTCCATTTGAAGATTTATTTTTTGTAAGTATATATATTGAAATACATGTAAGGAACTTCTTTTGAGGTAAATGGTCAATATAAATCCTTCTCTAAAAGACAGACCAGAAGGAAATGAAATACTCATTTCACAATGTAGTCAAATTGAAATTTGTCATTTGTACCCCTATGTTTAAAAATTATTGAAAGAAACATGAATTTCCCAACAGAAATATTTACAACTATTACTGAAATTTTCATTTCAGGAAATGTGCTTTGACATTAACAGCAGTCCATCAAATGTACAAATAACTGTCCTATATCCTTTATTGATTTAACAATCTACAATGTTGCAAGATTTACAATCTACATACATCCAGTCTCACCTCTAACATAGATTCTGAACACGGAATCAGTTACAAAGCCCAGGGCTTCCATCAGTTCCTCATCTGAAGAGAATGACACCAGGTCCCCATCGCTGTCTGGAGAAACAATAAAAAATATGTAAAACCCATTAAATATGAAAATACATACAATCTATATATACTCAATTGTATCATTTCACTGACTCATCTTCAACACCTGTTGCCAAGCTATCATATGGAAGACAAATGTATTCACATCGAACATATCACATTGAATGTCACCATACTTCACAGATAATTCTAACACCTATCATATTTGTAATTTGTCAATTGTATACTCAGCAGCAAAAACCGTCAGTACGAATTCAAAATTAGATAGGCACTGTAATCAAATAATTACAGAAATGGACATAATAAGCGGATCAAAAACATTTTTGTGTACAATATCTTGACACATCAATGAATAACTCAGCACAATTTCAAGACATTACGTGAACGTTTGCAGTCCATTTAGACCCTTGACTTCAGTATCCAGTGTGACCACCATGAGCGGCAATAACTGCAGCACAGCGTCTATGCATCGAATCCACCAATCGATTGATGAACCACACTCTGAGAAAGGCCTGGCGCAATAAATCAGCTGTGTTCGGCCTTGGTATGACATTATTCAGTCTCCTCTGAACTTCATCCCAAAGATGTTCAATTGGGTTTAAATCAGGACTAAGGGCTGGCCACTGCATAATGTTGACACCATTCTGCTGTAGGAAGTCACATGTAGCCCTGGCAGTATGGGCCCAGGCGTTATCATGCTGGAAAATGTTGTTCGGTGACGTGAGAAATGTGGTATGATGTGGGGTCTGAGAGCTTGGTCGATGTAGCGCACCGCTGTGATGCCGCCTCCTCTCCCTGGACCAAGGTTCTGGAACACCACTTCTTCCCACTCTCTGGTTCAGGTCTATTCCACCCCATACCATGATGCTTGCACCTCCCCATGAGTCTCTTTCCATAACACATTGGTCTGAGTAACGCTGGCCACGTCGTCGCCATATTCATGTTCTGCAATCTGCAGTTGATACGCAGTACCGACTCTCATCTGTGAACAGAACAGTTCTCCATTGCCTGTATCACCAGTTTTGGTGTTGTAGGGCAAACTGTAGACATTGACGCTGATGACGAGGGGTGAGGATAGGTCCACGGTAAGGTCTATGGCAATGGAGGTTCCCGCTGTTAAGACGTTAGCGTACTGTATCAGTACTGATTGGTCTTCTGTGTGTTCCCATTGTCTGGCATGCTGTTTCGGATGATCATCTGTGGTGTTGGTGGCCCGGAAAAGTTACTGCAGACCTGTAGATGGTCCGAACATTGACCTGGAAGTGATCAGCAACGGCTTGTGCAGTGTGGCCAGCTTCAAGTCTTCCTAGCGGCCTTGTTCCTCTGAGCTGTCGTGAGTCGCGGCATCCTGCTGACGTTGTAATGTGAATGTTTCAACCAGGTTTGAAGGTGCATTTTATAGGGATGGTCCTTGTGAACAGCACGTGCAGCTTGAGTTGCATGAAAAACATGGAGAACACCTTACCATCTCTGAGATCAGGTTGTGTTTCTGAAACCATTTCCTGGGTTCCATTCTGAGTTTGGGAAGGAATGTCTTTGCTCAGGTAAAGTTGGCGATGTTGTCAAAAATATACAATCAAAACATTAAATGAGTTTACAGTTATCCATTTCTGCAAAGGAAAATTCCAAACTGTCGTTTCTTTTGCTGCTTAGTATATATAAACAATCCTGTAAATAGTGATAAAAAATGACACCTGAATACAAATTCACATAAAACCAAAACATAAATATGATGTAGGTTCCTGATCAACCCAGATATGGATCCTCCAACCCAAACTATTTTTCTTAAATTTCTCAAATTGAACCACACTTTTTATCAACACACCGTATTGTCTTGGGATGTTTTGCCACTAGCTTGAATTGGCTGTAGAGAAACCACCAATGTCCTCTTAAGGAGAAAAACAAACAATAACAAGAAAGTACTAGAATATGTCCTTTACTGATCCTATATATAACCTAGCTAGGTGTAATTAGTGTTGCTTATATTACTGGCCCATGTCACACACATAACTCACCTTTCCAAAAGAGGTTGAAGTTTCCAGTGACAAGTCCCGGAAAGACTTCTGACACCTTCAAAAATATGTAAGTAAAACTTGCAGATGCCTCAGCCTGTAACTCCGAAACGTCGGATCTCAGCCTTTGGGTTCCCATCTCGCTCCAGGAATGCTTTGATTACAACAGACATCATTTTGCCTTTGTGAAGTGACAACGATTCAGTGTCCCTCAAAGGTGGATTTGTTGTTATACAGTGGAAGCTGTCTAAACCTGTCTTAAAATTTTCTATGACATCAGCATGATCAGTATTGACACTCGCACTCTCGCCACTAACTTTCCATTGTTTGATATCATGACGTGTTCTCCATGATGCTAGCCAGCCATCTGAAGCTTTGAAATCGCCAATGTCCAGTTGTGATGCAAACTGGAGAGCCTTTTCTTTCAGAATGGGACCAGAAATTGGTAAATTTTGGCTGCGGGCGTCCAAAAACCAATTATATGTCAGTTTGTTGATGCGATCAAATTTACTGTTCTCACGGAAGCGTTTTGTTTTGGAGCCAATGTTTTGTTCACATTTAGTCTGATAGAAGTCTTTCTTCTTCAGAATGTCCGAAACTGTTTGTCTGGCAATTTGATATTTAAAAGCAAGTTCTTTTTGAGATGGCCGAGGGATAGATTCAAAGTCATGTATCAATTTCATTTTCTGATTTAAAGTAAGTTCCACACGTGCCCGCTTGGCTGGCTTTGCCATTGCAGGAACTCGGGCAGTTTATAGTTTATAAATGGGTTGTTGTGTGGTATATACTGGGTTGTTTGTATTTATCTGTCGCCGTATCAGGAGGTTGTTGGCTTTCAATCCAATTGCTGTAAGGTAATCAAATAGGTCATTGGGTAATCGGGTGGCTTATAATCACGTTTTCACCTATTATCTATGTACTTTATAGACGTAATAATCTTGTAGTCATTCATTCTACTTATTACTCACGGTAAGCAGTAAAAATCTGAGTATCTATCGTATCGCTTCGCTGTCCGCCATGTTGGGTGCGGAAGCGGAAGCTGCTGACAGTAGTACCGCAGGGAAGTTGTTTACTTTTGTGTTAGCCAATGGTAACACTTCGTCGTGACCTTTCGTGGGTTAGCTCACGGGGTATATTTATAGACACCACTGATATTGAGTGGCATTTAGAAGTTGGTATGATGAACAACAAGGAGAGTTCTATGGATATGTTCTACAGCAACTTCATTATACCAACTTCTAAATGTAGTAGCGCCAGGATGTAGTTATTGTTCTAACAAGAACCACAAAGCCCCTGGGGTGTGAGGCGGATGGACTTTTATTACAACGAATGTAATAAACAAAAGCTTTAGCCTGAAACATGTTAAAATGACAATATAAGTTTACAATCAATAATTGACAGGAATCACATTACTACATATCAACTGAATTAACTTATCCAAATACTTAATTAAACGCACACACACGTACACGTATATACATAACTAATCATAACTACTGTTGCCAACACGTTACCGTGACAACCCCACAGATATATAAATGAATAATATCATGGTAATACACATGATTTGCTGATGCACATGAATGATGCACATGTATTAATTATATTACATGGCATTGATACTATAAACATTTACACATATGATAGATGTTACACAATATACAATGATAAATACAATTGAAATAACAATGATAACAACATACCAGGTTGGTATGACCTGAGCTCCTGCATTCAATGCATAGGTGACACTGCTGGTGTTTACGTCATCTGCAGGATGAATAAATACCATGTGCAGATGATATTTACAACAAATGATTAAAAGAGTAACTACGGTAAAAGCTACATACAACCACATCTAACCACACATACGCACATACATCCACACACGCACTCTATTTATGGTAGCTATAATAATGCTAATAGTAATAATGCTTTAATGTGATAGGAATATGGAAAATAAGATTATTACTAAATATTATACTTAGATGAAATATAATTAATGATTATATGTAATGCTATAAATATATAATATAACACTTACACAACTCACTGTACTGTGAGTCAAAACGTAACATTAGTCTAACTCACTATACTGTGAGCTAAACTTAAACTATAAAAACAGTATGATAACTCACTCTAATGCGAGTTATAACCTACACTAATAGCAATGTCATAACTCACTATACTGTGAGTTACCACCACATAAAATATTTACACATAGTAGAAAGTGGATACTGAGATTAAACATACTTAAACTATAGCCAATATAACCATCAACTATCACACACAAAACCACAATAAATATATACACAAGACTAGAGATTACTAACCTTATAAACATGGGGAAAAACAGTCCAGATCACCATGATCTCGACCCTAGAGAATATGGACAAAACCGCAACATGCGCGATGACAACCACATAAGATACTGACCAAGAGACTAGATGAAATTAACCTTTAAATACCTAATACCATATTAGCTACTTTCAGTTTTGTTATCACTTCGTTATTTTCCTTGTTTTCTATTTAACAGAATAAATTGTTATTATTTACATTTCTGCCTCGTGTCATATACTAGCCATATAAAGAAACTGCGCATTGTCAAAATATTATCCCAGTTGATAAGTACGATAACAATGTCAAAGGTACATATAAACTTTAATGGAGGGATCATAACGGGTATGTCCACCATCGGCATTGAGAACAGCAGTGCATCGACGACGCATAGAGCCTATCAAACGTGCAAGGAAGGCTTGTGGGATGTCACGCCAGATTCTCTCAAGTTCTGTTGCAAGGTCAAGGACGTTATCTGGCGGGTGAGGAAGACGGCGTAGACGTCGATCCATCTCGTCCCATACATGCTCTATCGGGGAGAGATCCGGTGAATTTGCAGGCCAAGGCAGTAAGTCAACGTTGTTGTGGTGTTGCAAGAAATCCATAGCAACCCTTGCCGTATGAGGGCGGGCATTGTCCTGTTGGAATGTTAACCCAGGGCCATAACGTTGCAGAAAAGGAATTGCCACAGGTCGAAGAATCTGATCCCTGTAGTACACACCAGTTAAGTTGCCCTGAACAATCACCAAAGGAGTTCTTTGGCGTGCTGTTATTCCACCCCAAATCATCACAGAACCACCACCAAAGCGATTCCTCTCCAAGACACAGGCCTGTGCATAACGTTCTCCCACGCGTCTATTGGCACGTTGACGTCCATCACTATGGGAAATGTTAACCCTGGACTCATCTGTAAAAACAACATTTCTTCACCAAAACAAGGGTCTGCGGACATGATTTCGGCACCACATTCGGCGAGCTTGTCGATGACGTTGTGTCAGGATAGGCCGTCTGGCGGGACGTCGTGGTCTGATCCCGTGATGACGTAAACGTTGTCGAACTGTGTTGGGGTGGATACGGCGAAGTCCTGGGATGGTTCTGGCAGTCATCACTGCAGTCTGAAACCTGTGGCGAAGATGGGTCACCCTTATCCACCTGTCCTGTCTTGGCGTTGTTACACGTGGACGTCCAGAACGTGGCCGATCGATGACGTCATTTGTGTTCTGGTAGCGTCTCACCAGTGCCGAAATGGTGTTCCGGTAGCAGTGGAAATGTGCAGCCACTTGTCGTTGAGACATTCCCCCACGGACCATCCCAATGGCCTCATGACGTTGTGCAGACGTGAGCCTTCACTGTAAAACTTTACCGTTAATTTTTACGGTAAAAGTTTGGCAGCCATGCTGCCGGTAAAAACTCAGTAGCTTTACGGGATACCGTAATAAATTCATACCGTAAAATATACGGTAAAACTCTGGCAGCCATGCTGCCGGTACAAAACCAGTAGCTTTACGGGATACCGTAATAATTCATACCGTAAAATATACGGTAAAACTCTGGCAGCCATGCTGCCGGTACAAAACCAGTAGCTTTACGGGATACCGTAATAATTCATACCGTAAAATATACGGTAATAGTTTGGCAGCCGTGCTGCCGGTACAAAACCAGTCGCTTTTACGGTGTACCGAATGTATTCATACCGTAAAATATACGGTGAAATTGTGGCAGCCGGTAGAATTCCTGTGCATGTATAGCCAAATAAAGTAATAACCATTTACTGAGGTTACCTGCACATACCAGCATTGGAATGTTAGCTACAACATGGGAACTATATCTATAATTGTCTTGCTTTTAATGCTGCGAATATATGCTATTCAAATAAAAAGAATACAACTGTGTTAGATGAATCTTTGAACCAGATGATTCAGATTTTATTGTTTTCAGTGTGAAGCTGGTCTTTTCTTACATCATCAGAGTTAGTATAACGATGTTAACCTAAGTTGGCATAGTATATGCTGTATACAGCTATACCCCCTCGTACTTTGTTTAAGCTGGGGGAAAGAGGCGACAAAATGATGTGCATTAACAGCAAACAAAAAAAGAAACATTTCTCTATGTCCTGATGACAATATAGGTCTCTAACAATATAACTAATGTTGATTTATGTACAATTTTGGTATTGCATGATCTAAATGGACAAACAATGGGATCCCTTCTGTCTAAATGCTGACGCAAATGTTTCAAGAGCTCCTCGATACGAGAGAATGTACTGTCACAAAAGCTTTGCCTACATACATGCGCCCATGATGACGTAAACGTTGTCGAACTGTGTTAGTGGATACGGCGAAGTCCTGATGGTTCTGGCAGTCATCACTGCAGTCTGAAACCTGTGGCGAAGATGGGTCACCCTTATCCACCTGTCCTGTCTTGGCGTTGTTACACGTGGACGTCCAGAACGTGGCCCGATCGATGACGTCATTTGTGTTCTGGTAGCGTCTCACCAGTGCCGAAATGGTGTTCCGGCAGCAGTGGAAATGTGCAGCCACTTGTCGTTGAGACATTCTCCACGGACCATCCCAATGGCCTCATGACGTTGTGCAGACGTGAGCCTTCACTGTAAAACTTTACCGTTAATTTTACGGTAAAAGTTTGGCAGCCATGCTGCCGGTAAAACTCAGTAGCTTTACGGGATACCGTAATAAATTCATACCGTAAAATATACGGTAAAACTCTGGCAGCCATGCTGCCGGTACAAAACCAGTAGCTTTACGGGATACCGTAATAATTCATACCGTAAAATATACGGTAAAACTCTGGCAGCCATGCTGCCGGTACAAAACCAGTAGCTTTACGGGATACCGTAATAATTCATACCGTAAAATATACGGTAATAGTTTGGCAGCCGTGCTGCCGGTACAAAACCAGTCGCTTTACGGTGTACCGAATGTATTCATACCGTAAAATATACGGTGAAATTGTGGCAGCCGGTAGAATTCCTGTGCATGTATAGCCAAATAAAGTAATAACCATTTACTGAGGTTACCTGCACATAACAGCTGAAAGGCAACAGCATTGGAATGTTAGCTACAACATGGGAACTATATCTATAATTGTCTTGCTTTTAATGCTGCGAATATATGCTATTCAAATAAAAAGAATACAACTGTGTTAGATGAATCTTTGAACCAGATGATTCAGATTTTATTGTTTTCAGTGTGAAGCTGGTCTTTTCTTACATCATCAGAGTTAGTATAACGATGTTAACCTAAGTTGGCATAGTATATGCTGTATACAGCTATACCCCCTCGTACTTTGTTTAAGCTGGGGAAAGAGGCGACAAAATGATGTGCATTAACAGCAAACAAAAAAAGAAACATTTCCCTATGTCCTGATGACAATATAGGTCTCTAACAATATAACTAATGTTGATTTATGTACAATTTTGGTATTGCATGATCTAAATGGACAAACAATGGGATCCCTTCTGTCTAAATGCTGACGCAAATGTTTCAAGAGCTCCTCGATACGAGAGAATGTACTGTCACAAAAGCTTTGCCTACATACAAGATGTACATTCACATGTGACTGGCCATTTACTGACCTTGACTGACTCGTGTTTGTGTTGCGCCCATGATCACGCAGTACGTGTGCTCGAAACGCACTGTACGTGTGAAATTGTCTTACACAAAGCTCCTGACAACATGGAAACACAATGTTCGGTACGTTTCTGTGTAAACGATAATGTCTGACATACTGACTAAGATAGAGGTCTCAAAAGTACATTCTTTGCAACGATACGTCATTACATTTGTCAAACACAAAATACAGTTGGAAACAATAGAAAAGCTAAATAGTGAACATGTAAGTCCTTAATCTGCATACTCTAGACATCGTATAGTACAAATTACCAATAGATGAGTCTTGTGGCAGCTGATTCTGGAACGATTCGTCTTCGTGTAATCAAACCCAACGTAAAATGGCGGCGGCGTGGATGACAGTATCCCACAATGCTTTGGGGTTAAACGGTATTATACCGTCAGAATCATTCACTATAGTAAAATGCCGTATATCCCACAATGGTTTGGCATGCTATACTTATCATAGGTATTTATCATGTAGGTAATGTGGTTTGGGATCATGTAGGTAATGAGAGTAGTGATAGGAACGAAGTAAGGCACATATAGAATTTAGGTATTAGTCCAGGAAAAAGTTTCTTGGAGAGTGACAGAGAGCTACTTTAAGTTTTGTTATCACTATTGTTATTATTTACATTTCTGCCTTGTGTCATATTTGTCCAACATATGGCTTATTAAAAACAGCCCACAGGCCGTCATGCCAACTATTACATCCACAGTGAACCAGTCACTAATTAAGTCAATGCCAGATATCATCGTCACTGAAGGAAGCACTAATAACATCTCTTTAAAGAGTGAGTGAGTTAAGATTTAAAATCACATCAGCAATATTTCAGCCATATCGTGACTAAACTAAATTCATAATACATACATATAATATATAAAACCCTGTCAACGAAGGGCAGTAAAACCACTAGATTATCACAGATTGAGTTAAAACTAGCTAGCATATATTTGTAAAAGAAGAAAATTATTTTTGGACAATACAATGTAAAAATGGGCTATAGATCGCCAACAACTGAAGGTAGATCACCATACTAGGGACCATGGGGACTTACAGTGCCTTTGCCACCTGCATGGACCCTCTTTTAAAGAAGCCAACATTGGAACCAAATGTCTTTAAGAACTATCGTCCAGTTTCAAATCTGCCATTCATTCCCAAATTGATAGAGCGTGTTGTAGCAAACCAACTGAAACAACACCTCCTGGACAACAATCTTGGTGATATCATGCAGTCAGCATACAAAATTGGTCACAGCACAGAAATAACTTCACTTGAGCTTGGGAGCGGCAAATCTTGTGCTCTTGGATCTATCAGCGACTTTTTGACACAATAGACCATTCCACTCTCTTGGAAACTCTACTGTTACGTCTTGGAGTCACTGGCGATGGGTTATCATGGTTTCAAGCGTACCTCACTGGACGCAAGCAATCAGTTATCATCGATGGGGTAAGGTCTGAGAGCAGAGAATTAAGGTTTGGAGTGCCACGAGGCTCGGTCCTAGGCCCAATCCTGTTCACTGTATATACCATACCCGTTGGTGATATAGCCCGAGCCCACAATCTCAGTTACCATCTCTATGCTGATGACACTCAGCTATATCTTGGATACAAGCCACTAACTGCATCTTCTGTACAGAATACCCTGCAGACAATAACAAATTGCATAGCTGAGATCAAATGCTGGATGAACAGTAATTCTGAAATTGAACGATGACAAAACTGAGATTCTCATCATAAGCTCCAAACAAACAAAATGAAAGTTCAACGTCCCTGGAGTTCAAATTGGAAACACGTTTGTTCAACCAGAAAGCCATGCTCGAAATCTAGGCGTCATCTTTGACTCAACATTACGCATGGAAAATCACGTCAGTAACATCTGCAAATCCGCATATTACCACCTAAGGAACATCAGACAGATTAGCAGGTACATGGACACACCATCAGTAAAATGCCTAACCCATGCATTTGTGACATCACGTCTGGACTACTGCAACAGTCTACTCTATGGAATCAGGGATACTCTACATATAGTCTCCCTGATGGAATACAGCAGCAGTACATGGACAAGTTACAGCGTGTTCAAAACTCAACTGCCAGGCTCATAACACGCACACATATGTATCTGCACATAACACCAATCCTGAAGGACTTACACTGGCTCCCTGTAAAAGACAGAGTTGTATTCAAACTTCTTGTGTTTGTTTACAAGTCCATTAATGGGCTTGCTCCATTTGGTAACCTCCCAAAACTTAGACAGCCATATCTTAGACAGCTTAAAACAACTACATTTCTGGTTCAGTGAACAACTAATCCTCAAGCTGATACCTATTTCTTATAATGGATCAGTCCAGTAGAATCAATTAGACAAGACGTTATGTTCATCCAGCATATTCATTATAAGTTCAACATATATAAAAAATACATAGTCAATAATAAATATGGTACTATGTTGATCACGTCCATTCTTGGCATATTAAGCACTGCATTTCCACAAAATTTCCCTAAAATATAATACTTGTGTTGACATCAGCATTTATCAAGGATATAACATGTAATACTTAATGGTCATTATCATTATGACTGATCATGTATACTGTATACATTCTTGGCATATTAAGCACTGCATTTATCTGTAAGCCTGATACAGAATTCACACGAAATGTGCACCATTTGTAATTTTACGTGTCTCCGCATTAAAAAAACCTTTTTTACTGAATTCACCTGTTTATTTCATGTTTATATTAAGCGACAGGCTTGGTAGGTATACGGGATATAGAAATTGTTAATAATCTGTTATTCATGTGTGTGACTCAGGGTACAAAGCCAAAGCCGAAATCACCAAAACGTGCATGTCTCCACTGATAGTATAACATTTTGAGTGAATATTTCAAAGTAAATTCATCTAGTGTGAGCAAAACAAATTACATTTTCGACAAAAGGTATTGTCCCTTTCGTTCATACCCAGAACATATCTTCATATGATTTAAATTTTTTAGAATATATGTTTAATATGATGTCTCCATAAAAGTGTAATCCACGTTACCTCATGAATGAGATATCTCGCTGACAATCTGTACATGCAGGTTAACATGCCGAAATCTTTTAAGTGCTGCAGTGACCTTGAAAATTAAGTGAAGGCCACTAAAATCGACTGGGCCCTGCAACTCCCCTGGATAAAGCTTGGTGTTGAATATCAAGAAAATCCAGTGAACGGTTTTTGAGATATCTCGCTGACATGGGTAAAACGTTAAAGTCCCCTTGTGACCTTGAAATGAAGGTCAAGGTCACCAAACATGACTGGGACTTTTCTTTTGCTGTGATGAACCTAGGTACCACATATGAAAAGAATCCGGTCAACGGTTCTTAAGATATTCCAATTTATACGTAAGTAAGTTTATTTGGGTTTGAGCTTTACTTGAGTGTTTTCTTACCCTTCTCTGTGCGATGTCTACACAGAAAATGGTGTACTATCGAGGGCATATTTGTGTTTTTTGGTTGTTGTTGCTGTTGGAATTTATCCTGCCGGTAAAAGAACTGAGACTGAAATTTATCCTGATGTAAATAAAGGAATTCCACAGAAAATTTGTTATGTTTTCCACCACTGATTACACATGTGGTATTTACACAGCGCCATGATATTGCTATGACTGCCATGTGCTAACAAGCTCGATTACTTTCTTGTGGTACTTGATCCTATGTTATAGCACACCTGTAAAAGTACAAGGTGAAGTTAAGCCAGGAGGTGAAGAGTAGATGGATAGGTGACATGTTGCCAGCTTGATGCCTGCCTGTTTCTAGTGCTTGTCCAACAGTGAGTGAGTTTAGTTTTACGCCACTTCTAGCATTATTCCAGCAATATCACGCCAGACACGAGATATGAGTTTCATACATTGTACCCATGTGGGGAATCGAACCCATTCCACTTTAACCACTGGGCTACCCCACCACCCCTCTCTAGTCCAACAGAAGCCCATGTTACAGTGTGTTATGTCTCACAACAAATGACTCTGAAATTATGCCTCTGTTCACCCAGCAGTGAATGGGTACCCAGTAGTGGTGGTCCGATTATTTTGAAATAATCGAAGAATGGTCGCAGTGACTAAACAACCAAGCAATCGATCATGTTTTCTCATAATCGAACACAAAAAATTCTGAAAAACTTTTTGCATTAACAATATTTTTCACAAGGTTGGTTTTGTCTGTTACATTTCATAAGCACTACAAGCTTGTTCCAAGTCATGATTGAATTTATCTTAAAGACTCCAAGAAATTAATGTTCCTACCATACTAGTCATCCTTTAAAGATGTGCAATTTGCACAAAAAGAATCAAAGAACTACATGTTTTTTTCTTTTTGTTTCTGCGCAAACAAAAATAACCAGGAAAATTTCATAAATGATGCTAACCAATTATTTTCGATGATTGATCGGTTTTAATGAGCCAATCATCAATTATGGGATTTTAACCCATAAAATGATGAGATGGCAATGTGACGGTTACCTTCCAGTACCTCAAAGAGAGCTTGGGTTGTATAATCCCCAGGAAGCTGATAACGAATATTGAGTGCACAGAAATTCATTGAAAGGGAGTTTGATGAAGGGCATGTAGCATGATACAGTGTGTGGACTTGGCGTATTTTACAAACGAACATAACTATTTCTTTATGTTTTAATGCAGTTTTGGTTGCCAAGGATTATCAGCCTGTGATTTTAGTTTTATGTCTCATAAGCAATCTTGCTGCTATCTACTCTGGGAAGGTTAGAGTCATAATCAAGACTCCAGAACTCATATTCTGGTTAATCAAGCGAGAGTGAGCTTAGGTCACTATAGCAACAGTTTGCCACGTTAACAACCACACAAATATATATCAAAGCGAACCGATAAATTTATTTTCTGCCATGTATGAATATCAAAACAAACATTTCACGTAGATACACAAAAAACACCCATTATGTTTTCTAAGGTTTGAACGGCCCAATTATATTTTCCAATGTTACACAACCCCATTACTTTTTCCATGGTTTATACCCTCATCACCCTCACTATCAATAACAATACCCAGTTTCAAGACAACTGATAAAATCCAACAATACCCAGTTTCAAGACAACTGATAATATCCAACATTATTTGCATATTTTCTACACACAATAGTCACGCATAGAAACAACAACAAAAAAGCTGTAAATGCAGTAACACATGAACAAAATCCCACTTAACATATTCCATGGATGAACTTTAGTGTTCTACCTTACAGTCAACATAAATATCAGAGGGGTCAATTTTCAGATAAACAGTTTGTATTCATATTAAGACACTTGAATCAAAATGGAGTTGCCAGTTTCCAAAAAACAGACTGATGGACAAAAGCAGTATTATTGATTGAATCTACACTGGTGAGGCTGAAATTTACGTGTTACAATCCACTTACATTCAGAATATCTTAGTTTCTAACAAGCAGGGTCTTTACCTTTGGCTTTGATTTAAACATGGTTGATATTGGTACAGTATCATGACAGTGTCATATATTTGAAACACACTATTTTCAAAGCCTCTTACAATGTCACATAGAGTTCAATATTGTTAAACATTGTCAGACAAATCCCTCAGATATTTAATCTAAAACAGAATCACTGCTCATATAAAGAGCTGTTGTCATGTACAGATTAACCCAGTGAAAGTATAGCCTGTAGTAAGAGTTTGTCACAGTCTGGATCGGTGTTCAGGCTCTGAAGCCCTCGTTGATTCTGCGATCTGGTTTGATTGCATCCAGCACCTGACTGATGTCTCCGTTCTTGGCCTCGAAAGCAGTCGTGTGAGCCAGCCGCCATCATTTGTGAAACCCATCTGGGACATTTGATGGAGAGCCTCAGTAATCTTGGGGTCTGCAGGAAAAAAATGGAACACTTAAATATTTATTCACAGTACCGAGCATAACAGTTTTGCACTTGTTTCAAGAATTATATTGTGTAAGGTTTTAATGGACTGGATTCTCACAAAAATACACTGGAACAAAAGCCTCAGAATAATATTAAATGGTTCATGAATGATTAACTACAGTGAAGCAGTATCAGGAAAGTACACACCTGTCTTTACTTATCTGCTGTATCTAATTAACCTGTGTTCAGAACTGGCCTTGAGAGGGGAATACTCAGGTCTGTATCACACCTCTCAATGTAATATACCCCTACCCATCACCCCCTACAACACCAAATGATCCTTGCAACATTTTTTCAAGACCCTCCCTGTAATACATGACCAGCCCTTATATAATATTTAATAATTTTTAAGTGAAAAGTAGTACTGTTATTCTTTCACAACACTTTCAACCTCCACCTTCCCACATTTGCTGTGTCAGTTCTTCTCTTCCTGCTCCCCCCTCTATACGAAATGACCAATCCTTAATGAGCACACAGTAAGCACAAATAAAACTGTAGTGCATGTGACATGGCTTCCAATGTGGCCATATTGTCCAACTACAAAGTGCTATAAGTGCTAACCTGGGTGTGGAGGGCTTGGTGGAGATCTGGAGTTGGACAGAAGGGTCCACTCTCCTTCACAACTACCAGGGCCATCATTGATTTGCAGACCTTTCATTTTGTCTGTGACTGGTGCTTCGGAAGGTCTAGAGCCATCCTGAGCCGTTGTGTCTCGCGCCTCCTGCTGTTTGGGTTCTGTTGGTTTGGCGCCTGCTTCCTCTCTCATCTCGTCACTTTCCTTCCCAGCCTCCTTGTCCTGGTTGTTGCCAAAGCGACGATGGCAATGGCGGAATCGGTAACCATGGCCTCTGGGTCCTCCCCACCCAAAGCCCCATCCTCCTCCAAAACCTCTACATCCACGTCGGCCAGCTCCATGACATTGCCCACCACGACGGCGACCTTGATGCTCAACTTCAAACTTCACATCAATACCTAAAACACAAAAAACTGTTGTAGACAGTATCAACATTAACCTGTAATCTCTAATACATATTAAACTGAAGGTATGAAATTCATAAATCAATCTTTCAGAACACCTGTCAAAAGGTTTTGAAAAAATGTTTCTGGTCTGGAAAATATCTTTGACAAGGCTAATCTGTTACATTAACATAACGAGGCACTTGACATGTGAACTTCCTATGTTATTGTATGGGTTCTCATTCACAGACCCAACACAAAGCACAATATCAGTTACTGGATTTCCTCTAATAAGGGCCCCTGGCTCTTTATTTTTCAACGGACCTCCAGACCCGGCGCTTATTAAAATACCCTGTATTTTTAAAAGCGGGGATGAGTACATGAAGTTATGATTTAAGGAACCATTACATAATATATTTATTTTTAGACCAAGGGAGAATACATTTGCGAAAAAATGCAAAGGTCTATACCCGGCGCTTATTAGAGGCCCAGCGCTTATTTCTTAAAGCACTGCTTTATACCCGGTGGTTATTAGAGGCCCGGCACTTAATAGAGACCCGGCGCTTAATAGAGGAAATACGGTATGTTTAATGACAAATTCTTCACTAGAATTACAACAGACATGTCATATGATTTACTGTTATATTGTGTAGTCTGTGACATTCTTACCCCTTCTATATCAACAACCATTTGATATATCAATAACTTTGAGATACATTTACAATTAGACAACTACAACCTTGCAATACCAAAATTGCCTTATCAGAATATGCACCCCGCCTTGTTCCAAAAGCTGTATTGACACACCGGGATTAATTCACAATGCATCAACATACTGCTAAAAAGTGACACCATCATGTCACATATTGTTACTGACTGACATACCGAAAGGGTCCATCATGGCTGCCACATTCTCTCCCACATGGTGGAGATATTCCTCCTCGGGTCCAGCATCCTGTTCCCCGTCCTGGTTAGGGTCAGAGTCCGCCCCAGGGGGAACATCCCCCTCCGTTTCCATGCCACATCCACCATGACGGTTGTGCCAGCGGTTCATGTAACGCTTCATCCATCGGCGGAAGTGTGGAGGAGGGCGGAACGGCTGAGAGTAAGAACAAAGGCGATGAGTGATAAATGTTACTTAATGCAATCACACTTCAACAGAAAACTACCAATACTGAATAATATATTATGATTATTATTTCTGTTGTTATTATTAATATTGAATATTGAGGAGAGTGCATGTTCAAGTGCTGCAGGTTACCTCAACAATCAACAATGCTGTATATCAGGATATGTATATTTTTCTAAGTTATCACATAACACAAACCACAGTTAACAAAGAGACAACTGGATTATTCAAATTTTCACGTGAACATAAAACAAAATACTTTTCAATTTAAATGATCATGGAAATCTCACCATTCGTCCAGGGCCACACGAGTTCATGGGGGTCACAATCTTGAACATGTCATGTTCGGAGTGGATATTTTTAGCCTCACACTGGCTACAGAGATCATAGTCCGGGCACACGCAGCACTTGTAGCGGATCCCGCGGACGCCTCCCTCACATGCATCACAAACAACATTGGGGTGGAGCGTTCCACTGCTGTCGCTGCTGCTGGCAGATGACGTTGGAGCATGCTCTGAAATGACCAATCAGCAAACAGTATGAAACAGTCCTTGTTCAAAATTAAAATTGTTTGTATAGTTTGTTCATTAGGTTATATTTTTTTTCAAGAATGACATATAATATTACTGGTCTGTCCATATTTTGACATTAAGGTCCACCTATGAACACTCTCAACAGCTTGTATGGGGACTTGGAGGAACAGCTGGTTAGTGCTACATTACTTGAATATCCTTCTCTAAAAAGTACTGTTTTCAAAGTTGTGAGATATTATTGAACTGGAGATAGTTACCTAACAATCACAAAATCGTTGATCTCTTGTGGTGTCAGATGTAATTAAACACACAATATTCTATGTATTCTCATTACATATATTCTGATTCTTACAATTTAAAACATTTATATTTGTACATCAGTAAGCAAAGTGTGAAAAGATGACCAAGTAAGTTTATATATGTATATTGAAATACATGTAAGGAACTTCTTTAGAGGTAAATGCCCAATTTTCAAATCCTTCTCTAACAGACAGACCAGAAGGAAATGAAATACTCATTTCACAATGTAGTCAAATTGAATTTTTTCATTTCCCCTACGTTTAAAAATATTTAACTTCCTTGAAATGTTTACAACAATTACTGAAACAAACATGAGTCATCATGAAACTCCATGTCCTTCATTATTTGGTCTTGCCAACAGGAAGCTTCATAACGTCAATCAAGCTGTATGAAATATTATTAGTTTAAATTTTCATTTCAGGAAATGTGCTTTGACATTACAGCAATCCATTTACAAATGTACAAGTAACTGTCTCTATATGCCTCATATATTGAACACTGTCACTATAATGTTGCAAGATTTAAAATCTATATAATCCAGTCTCACCTCTAACATAGATTCTGAACACGGAATCAGTTACAAAGCCCAGAGCTTCCATCAGTTCCTCATCTGAAGAGAATGACACCAGGTCCCCATCGCTGTCTGGAGAAACAAAAAAATATATGTAAAACCCATTAAATATGAAAATACATACAATCTATATATACTCAATTGTATCATTTCACTGACTCATCTTCAACACCTGTTGCCAAGCTGTCATGGAAGACAAATGTATTCACTTCTAACATATCACATTGAATATCACCATATTTCACAGATAATTCCAATACCTATCATATTTGTAATTTGTCAAGTGTATATAAACATTCCTTTAAACAGTGGTAAAAATTGCAGCTGAATACAAATTCACATAAAAGCAAGTAACACATTTGGACATAAAAGGTTGCCATTTCATCATCTAGACCAACTTAATACGACACAAAATCATGTTGTTAACATAAAACTCATCAAAAAAAGGATCTTACTGTTGTCTAACATAAAGACTGTTAACAAACCACAGTCCAAAACATATCCATAAGGCTAAACAAAACATATGTTGTTGCATGGTTCCAGATCAACCCCAGACAAGGATCGTTCAACCCAAAATAGTTTTCTTATATTTCTCATATTGAACCACACTATTCCTCAACACACGGTATTGTCTTGCTTTTTTATAGCAATGTCCTCTTAGGAAGAAAACAAACCTTTACAAGAACGTACTAAAATCTGTCCGTTACTTATCCCATATATAACCTGTTAGTGTTGCTTATACTACTGGCCCATGTCACACACATAACTCACCTTTCCAAAAGAGGTTGAAGTTTCCAGTGACAAGTCCAGGAAAGACTTCTGACACCTTCGAAAATATGTAGGTAAAACTTGCAGATGCATCGGCAGGAACCCCGAAACGTCGGATCTCAGCTTTTGGGTTCCCATCTCGCTCCAGGAACGCTTTGATTACAACAGACATGTTTTTGCCTTTGCGAAGTGACAACGATTCAGTGTCCCTCAAAGGTGGATTTGTTGTAATAGTTTGGTTGACAGCTCTGTTGACGATCACGGACGTTGTTTGCAGTAAGCTACGTGGCCGGGCTTTGGAGCAGGGAAGGAATATCTGGGTTTATATACCTGTCAGTGTGGTGGTGGGAGGAGCAATCAACCACAGAATGTTTATTTTGATTCGCGGATTGGACTTCTGCGCAACTTCCTGAAGGATTCAGCACAAATTTGCCGTGTGTCACGGCTAAAAATAGCAAAAGAACGTTCCCGATCGTTCGATGGACCGGTTGTGGGCGTTCCTAGTCCGATTTAGAACGGACTCGTCAGAATCACGCGGTTGCATGAGTCATAGACACGTGACGGAAAATTTCGCGACCTTTCGAAATGAATGTAGATCTACTGCGTAGTTGCATATTTCCCCGAGATAATTAAGACGGAGAGACTGATAACGGTCCGTTCTAGAACGAAAGAGACCGTTCCATTTTGACAGGCGTAGAATGATTCAATGATCTGTAATATAATGAAAAACCAACGCGACAGTACAGAAATACGTACAAAATATATAGAACAGGAAATCTTCACTAAGTATATAGAATCCCCGGGTCTATTAAATCATTTTGAATGGAATATGTTATATGTATTTGAAAGGGGGGGGGGGGGAGTTGCATGATAAATGTAACTTAAGGGAGGAGAGGGTGTACAGACCAATATCAGATATCAGACCACGTGACCAGTCTCTGATATTTAATGAGGACCATTACTGCCCAGTTTTAAGACATGGCACAAGTTATACGTCCAGATTATGGTACTGAACACGGGCAACAGACGAAGGGACATCCTGTCCCATTAGATGTCGTTTTGATAGTAAACCCTTAGTACCCGTGAAGATCCGGGGTAGAATTGGTCTTCAGCAACCCACGCTTGTCATAAAAAGTGACTAACGTGATGGGGTGGTCAGGCTCAGAGACTGACTTGGTTGAACATGTCAGCGTAGATCGATGCTCATGCTGTTGATCACTGGTATTGTCGGGTACAGACTCGATTACTTACAGACCGCCGCCATATAGCTGGCATATTGCTGAGTGTGGCGTTTAACGACAAACAAAAAACGAAACAATAAAGCCTGGGTTTCTGATACTATTTTATTGTAAATAATGAATATTTTCTATCGAGTTCATGCGCTGTGGTTAAGTTGAGTCAACTGCCTCCATTAGTGTGTTGATGTCCCTTATTCTTTATATGAGAACAATATTTAATTGCATTTCCTCTGGTTATTTTGAGTCCAGTTTAATACAGTGTGAGCTAACCGTCAAAAGATACTCCTTGTTTGTTCGCCCAATAATAAGCAGGGTTTAAATCGTAGAATCTGGGTTGTTTTGCAACATTTGCTGATAATCGCCGGTTGCTAATGGGACGATGTAAATCTTGCTGTTCCATACAGGTAGCGAAGGTACAGTAAGTCCCCATGGTCCTTAGTACGGGAATCTCTGCTGGCGATCTTTTGCCTGCTTTTATATTGTCCTGTTTCATATGATGATATATTTCATGGTTACATAATACTATTTTTTTAAAAACCCATCTGTTTTTATGTACAGTCCTTTGATGACTGGATTTTATGATAACAGCATGTATTTATTGTGTATGCAAAAAGGTTCTAGTCACGGTATGGCTAAAATACTGCCGATGTGACTCAACATTTTAACTCACTCACTCACACAATAATAAGTGACGCAGAGCCCGAACTCTAAATGATGGGATAGTCTGGCTCGAGTCTGTTGCGAAAGCCTCAAATGAAGCAAGTCTAGATTTTTCTCTGGATCAGAATTTCACCTCCCACTGGATCATCTTTCCGATTCAAATGGGGTAATGTGTCAAAATACACTGTAATGTATTTACTAACTACCCGTTAGTCTGACACGAGGATAGCTAGCTACAGAGCGGGTCGCTGAAGATTTTACAACCGCAGCCCTTACCTCATATTAAATAACACGCCAAAGCTGAATACTTAGCTCTGTTAGCTCTATCTTTACGTTCCTCATTGTATCGATTCTGTAAACAGTGAGGTTCACGATGTGAGAATTGGACACGTGGTCGTAATTTACGTTTTGAAAACCAACATGGAGAAACGTGTGAGACAGTACATCTGTCCTGCTTCAGTGCTGGTATTTACAACTTCGGGCTGTAGAAATATCACAAACCAAGAAAGTGTTTGAGTAATCGAAAATAACAATGTGGCATGTGTAGTTTGCGTTATTTGAAATCTTTGATGAAGGATTTTAACATTTTTATTAAGAATAGTGTAACTTGTCCTTTAATGTCTCCAGCACTGCCATGAACGTTGAAACGTTACTTGCATTTTAATCTCGTTATTGTCAGATCTTCATACTTACCACAACATGAGAACTTATAATGAGATTTAAAGAGGCGACCAAAGGATCAGGTGACCAAGATTGGCGTGTTATTATACACTGATGGTGTGGAACAATGCTCACAATATCGATCATTGGATTGTTTGGTCCTTACATGGCTCCAATATATAACTTTGATAAAACCGAGTGTGGCGTTAAACACTGGTCTGATAACCCCAGTACACAGTGACTCTCCCTGCTAGTTGAATTAGATTGTATGCATGCTTCAGAACCAATCGATGTCGAAAGGTCAAAACTCAGTAGTGCATATCTACTTACGGTACGTACGTTTTCGCAGCTACCTGTGATTTGAACGCATGAACTACAGACCAACTATCCATGCTTGCGTTTCGGGCCTATATTGTGTACCAGGTAGACTGACATATTGTACGATCGCTTCTTTCAGTGAATATCTTTTTTGGGGAACCAACTATATGCTGAAAACCACAGAAATAGTTTTGTGTTTGAAAAGACATATCTTTTGGTATGACGATCAAGTTATCTCCCCTGATCAGCATCAGGTTTATCGTCTGCTTAGACGACTGGGTACATCCGTGCCACTGAAAACCAACAGTGAGTTAGTAAGTCAGTGGGTTGGGGTTACCACCTTCAGTGTTGTTCAGCTTGTCATAACATGGGAGTCAAAGTCAAAGTCAAAATTAACAAATAACATGCAAATTAATGACAAAACATTGTTTAAAAAAAGATGAATAATTTATTTCCCATGTAACAATGACAACATACTGTCTATATACAAACATGTCACTTTCCACGAAACTTCTCTTCTCATTCATAAGATACAGAGAACCCATATCTGCCAGCTTCAACATAAAGTATCACCAGTATTAAATCTCATTTCTTTCAACCAATAAAATACATTTGGTGCATCTAATTGAAAACACAAAATGACTTTTAAAATACAAAGAAAACCAATAACAGTGAGCTATACTTTATACAGACCCCACAGTGTTTTTCAATCATCTACAACTCCAAAGAAGACCATTTCCTTATTTTGTTTAGCTATGGGTCAGTTGAGATACAATATTTATCCAGGTCAGATGATGTGAAAATAAACTTAAATGTTTTCATATTTCTTATGAAATCATTAAAGGAGTTGCAGTTTGTGGTACTAGATGCACTGCATTAACAGTGTTGCAGCTGAACACATTGTATGTACAGTTTTGTGTGATGAAAACAAAAGTTTGGAAAAACAGTTACACATTTGTTTCCCAAAGCTTTGACACAGTGGAAGATGGCTCTGATGCACCCACTGTAGACATGGTCCCAAAGCTGGGTCTAGTGTTTGAGATTTTGGAAACTGAGAGACTGGCGTTTCAAACATGCATAAAGAAATAGTAAACATATATCTCACTTTGATATTCCACCAATAAGGACTTGCTTTTCATCCTAAACAGCACTCACACAGAGGAACCTCAGTTCTCCCCACAAGCATAAACTGTCACCATAGTCACCATCCACTTCCTATATATACATCACTGTGACACTGGTATCTGACATACTGCAGTATACCTTACACAGCAGAAATGACAGGAAAACTAATAATAACCAACTCCTGATGGAGAATGACAGATTATCTTTCCCTCCTTACATTAATTACGTAATTCTCGAGCCTTGGTGAGACCATTGGACACACCAGCAGGGATATCATGTGATTAAGGCCGCAATGACATAACGAGGTCAGACCAAATTATCTCTCTTTGATGCAGGTCTATCTCTTGGGTGAAACTCTCTAGTATGGGTATGATGCAGGTAAGTGTAAATATTATAATTTTCAACAGTTATCTGATTACAAGATAGGATTATCAGACACACTAAATGTGTGCAACTCTGCAGTACTTTGGACAACTGGGGCACCTATGCTATTTGGTTTTCTTGCTAACATACCCTCAATATTCTATAATTAGACCAAAATAAATGTTGAATAAATATTACTTAATTGACACAATTTGCAAATGTTTGTTTCACATTTTGAAAATAAATAAATACTAACCTCAAATTAGCCATTGTAGTTTTTCTTAAAATTAGTGTTATTGAGCCATGTAAACATAAGCAAAACTTTCATTTTGTAATCAAATTCAAATCATCAATGGAAACGTTTTCACATTTTTGGTTAAGCCTTCTTTGGATGTCCATGAATAAAACTCAGGTAAAACATGGTGAATTTATAATCTGGTCTGAGGAAGACAGTATGTAATTCTGACTCATTAAACAATGCTCCAGGTAAAGGATCAATGTCGCAGAGTTAATTAGTAAATACATTTACAGTGGAAACCTGATAAGTAAAATTTCAAGGGACTCGCCAAAATTGTTTACTTATCAGGTATTTTACTTATCCAAACTTATAAAAACCTGCAAATGACAACCATATGCATGTATATGTATGCATATGTAACAATGAACAACTTATCAGGGCTGGCCTCCAGTTGTCAGAGTATTGTCAACTGCATGACGCCAGCGAGCTGTAAGTAGGATGTTTGTTTGACTGGAGACTGACATGACTGCCCCTCATGTCGGATTATGTGGTGATCGCTAATTTAGTTATCCAGTCTCTTTTGTTAAGTAATTTACTTCCAGGGACCGTGAGAGAGATGTTTAGTTAAAGCGGTATTGTTTACTTATCCGAGTTTAGTTAACCAGACTCTAATAGTGATAATTAATGAAGAAATTTGCCGGGACCAAAGAAAAGTGTTTACTTATCAGGTCTATTTAGTTAAGCGGTCTTTACTTAGGCGGTTTCCACTGTATCATGTTT